AGAGAGAGAGACTCTACTTTCCAAATACAAAATATATACCTCATAGCCATGCTCCCAATGTACCACTTCCTCTAGCTATACCCCACACGCTTCCAATTACCATTCAGTTCCATCAGGAATTAATTCACTGATTAGGTTAAGGCTATGCCCCAATCATTTCTCCTCCAAATCTTCTTGCATTGTCTCACACATGAGCTTCTGGGGCACACCTCACATCCAAACTATAACACCCAGAGAACTCTAAAACACAAAGAATGAACTCCAATATAAACTATGAACTTTAGTAACAATTGATATTGATTCATCAATTATAACAAAATGTACCACAATAATGCAATATAAATAGGGAAAATTGATAAGTGAGAAGGAGCATATGTAAACTCTCTACATTCTGCTCTATTTTTCTGTAAGCTTAAAATTGCTCTAAAAATAAATCTATTGATTAAAAAAGGTTCAAACGTTTTGAATAGCTAGGCGTGGTGGCACATGGCTATAATTCCAGTGGCTTGGAAGGTTGAGGAAAGAAGACCCCCAAGTTAAAAGCCAGCCTCGGCAACTTAGTGAGGTTTTAAGCAACTCAGTGAGATCCTTTCTCTAAATAAAATGTTTTTAAAAGGGCTGGGGATGTGGTTCAGTGGTTAAGTGCCCCTGGGCTCAATCCCCAGTACCAAAAAAAAAAAAAAAAAGATAGATATATCCAATAGATATTTCTCCAAAGAATATATATCAATAAAGATATGAAAAGATGATCCTTAAAGAAATTCAAATCAAAACCACAATGAGATATCACTTCATAGCCATGGGATGGTTATAACCAATGATAGAGAATATCAAATATTAATGAAGATGGGGGAAATGTAAAACTCACAAACTGGRAGTGAGAATATAGAATAGTGCAATCACTTTGAAAAATAGTCTGGCTGCCCCTGAAATGGTTATAAATAGAGTTACCATGTGACCTGACAATTCTACTCCTAGGTATCTACCCAAGATAATGGAAGTCTGTGTCCAAGTGAAAGACTGCAGCTGAGCACTCATAGCAGAATTGTTCATAATGTTCACCAGTGGAAACCACTCAAATGTCTATGAACAGATGAATGGATAAGTACATTGTATACCCATACAATGGAATATTATTCAGAACTGAAACAAGCCATGAGGTGGATGAACCATGAAAGCACTATGCCAAATGAAAGAAGGGAAGTCACTAAAGACCACGTATCATACAATTCCATTTACGTGAAATGTCCAGAAGAGGCAAATCTATAGAGATAGAAAGCAGATTAGTGGTTCTGTCTGAAGGAGAAAATTGGGGGACAGAGTATGGATGGAGTTTGGGGAATAGGTTGAAATGTTCTGTTTTCATTTTTTGATAGTTATACAACTCTGTGAATATATTAAAAACCATAGAATTATATGCTTTAAATGAGTGCCTTGTATAGTATGTTAATTATATACCAATAAAGCTATTATATTTTTGAAATGAACATTTCAAAGGAACTATAAAGCCAGAGGGCCTCAGAATAAAGTCTCTTTTAATCAATCAATCAATTGATAACCGACAGAAAAATCTTGGCAAGTTGATAGTTAATTACTTTAGTCATTATGATCTAAGTTGTACATTCAAAGACTACTGATTCAAATATAGAAATTTTATTTGTTTATTTGGGTAAAATTTATTTTACCCAACAAGAAAATAAATATCTTATGATTTCCTAAAGGAAAAATGTTTAAGAAGCCAAGAAGGGCTGCTGGCCTCAAGAGCTAGAAAGAGGGCCAGAAAATACCTCTGATATCTGAAAATAAGAAGGACCCTAACGATAGGCATGGAATTGTCTGTAACAGACAGTTCACAGACCCAAACAATCATGTCTGCAGAGAGTGGCCATATAACTAATATACCATCATCTACAATTGTTGAAATTAGCACAAGTCATAAGGTGATAAGAGGATCTATTGGCTAATATAAAATAAAGACAACAAAACAACAAGACTTTTGGCTATTCTAGATGAGGTAAAGGTATTCCAGACCTAGAAAACTTGAATTGACAGCATAGATTAAGAAAAATCAACACCACCAAAAATCATTGTGTTTTGTTATTGTTTTGAAGCTATGTTAGCTTAAAAGATATGTTATCTTATGAAAATCCAGGTCCATCCAAGCAAAATCTATGTACACTAAGCAGCCCTCTCATCTATTTTTGTCTCTTGTATGTGTTCATTTTATGAAGTCCCTTCAATGAGCAATTCTTCCTCCTCCTCCTCCTCCTCTTCTTTTTTGATATGGGGGATTGAACTCAGGGGCACTGAACCACTGAGCCACATCCCCAGCCCTATTTTGTATTTTATTTAGAGATGGGGTGTCACTGAGCTGCTTAGTGCCTTGCCATTGCTGAGGCTAGCTTTGAACTCACAATCCTCCTGCCTCAATCTCCTGAGCCACTGAAATTATAGCCATGTKCCACAGCGCCTGGCAATGAACAATTCCTCTAGTTCTCAGAGTAAGCCTCCCATGGCAGAGTTGTAATGAATAGCAAGATCCAGCTCCCAGCCCCATGGAAGTCTAGCTTGCATGACTCGGCCCTCAGGAACTCATTACTTCTGAGTGAAATGAAAAATATCAAGTCAGGAAAGTGAAGAAATAGTGGTCAATACACTTGATGATTATCAATGTGATTTTAGCATCACAGAGTCTGATAACTTGTCTTCTGTCAGGCTAAATAGTAATGTAATGTTTGAGAACCCATGCTACCCTGTATTTTTTAAATCACATAGTTATTGAGAAATAGAACTTTAATAAGTAGTGTGTGATTTTGCTTYGTTAAACTGTCTAAAATTGATTAGATTTCCACTCTGACCTTTTAAAGGCTTGTTAATCCTAACAACAGCATTGTATCATATTCATTGTTACTACAGGTATTCAAGTACATTGGAAATATAAAAATGTGACTTTTACCCAGGCCAGATAACCACACAAGACCAAATGGGGGAAAACTGGCTTGACATGGGCCGTCTGCTTTTTATTATTTAAGGAACAGAATGTGCCCTGGAAATCAACACCAAGCCTTTCCTTATACATGCCTATTTTTTTCTTGAATAGCAGAGAAACTTGCAGTTTTCGACCCAATATTCATTCATCCATTCACCTAACGTTCCTGAACACTCCCTGCAGCCAGGCACTGTGTGAGAGCTCAAGCTGTACTGGCAAACCCCAACATTCAAAATCACTCCACTTCCCAGTTTTACCGTCGGCATTACATATGCTAGGAAAAGCAAACCTACTTATTATTTTCCTTATCCTATGACTTTCTTACTCATCTTTACTCTTTTCCCAATAAATCCCCTGCCCTATATTTTAAATAAAATTTAAATATAACCATTTAATTGAAAAATTATTGCCACAATACTTGTACTCTGTTCCAGAAKATCATTTTCCAGATTTCTTCTCAGGATGTAGGAGAAATGAATGGCCTGTGGTAAAAATTGGGAATGCACCACGGGAGACTACAAAATGGAACCATAAGGAAGAAATAGATTACACACYCACTAGTCCCCTTCATTACAATCTGTCTGCAGAAGCTGACTAATTACTTAGGAGGGATAGTTTAGAGTCCATACACTTGGCGTGAAGCTGGATTCGATGGCAACTCTTTCAATATATGACTTTGAAAAATAACTTATATATGTCTAACTAAAAAGAACAAATTTAGGTCTTTCCATCTTCTAAAGTCTTCTTTAATTTCTTTCTTTAGCATTCTGTAGTTTTCATTGTAGAGGTCTTTCACCTCTTTCGTTAAGTTGATTCTAAGTATTTTTTTTATGTTATTGTAAATGGGGTAGTTTCCTTTCCAGAGGGTCCTCTGTATGTGTAACATGAATTGTCATGCATCCTGTTGTCATATGTAACAAATTAAGATTAAAAAAGAACAAATTTAAAAAAGAGAGAGATCTAATATTTAGACCTAATTTAAATATCTTCTAGCCAAACTTCTCCAGAAATGCAATGCCGAGTTCACAGGGCCAAAGAAAAAAAGAATTCCAAGCCAAAAAAACTGAAATAAAGGTTGGCCCGAGACCTGTGAAATCCCTGAGGCCTTAACCGAAGCAGATTCACAATGACCCTGGAGGGACGCTCTCCAACCCTGGGCACATGATGTTTCTCTGAAGAAAAGAAATCACCAGACAGTAGAGCTCACAACATATAAGAATATTCAATGAGGGCTGGGGATATAGCTCAGTTGGTAGAGTGTTTGTCTTACATGCACAAGGCCCTGGGTTCAATCCCCAGCACCACAAAAAAAAAAAAAAAAAAAAAAAAAGAATATTGAATGATGTGGAAAAATATTCCCAATTTATTACATGAAAAATTCATGACTCAAGTAGTACATACAGGATGTGCTAATATTTATGGGAAAAACTTGTGTGTGTATATATGTAGGTTAAATATATATAATACAAAGTTATATAAAGAAAAGGAAGAGACTGGAAGCTTATATACCAGAGCTTATTTATTAGCCCAACATAGGTGATTATTTATTATTTTTGCTTGTTTTTCTATAATGAATATGTGTTTCTTTTGAAACAGGAAAAGGTATAAAAAGGGTTACAAAATTGAAGTGATTAGGCTATGATGCAGAAGAGAYAGAAATATTTTTAGGACATATTTTATGAATTTCAGCATAGAACAGGTTTATATTTTTAAAGAAAAACCCTCATACATAATTATGTGTGAAATAATTAACCTATAAAATGTTTAACACATTTTAAAAAGTACAACAAAATATGAAAACATTGACAAGTGGATTTCTATGATATATATTAATATTTTTTTAGTTGTAGGTGGACACAATATCTTCATTTTATTTATTTACTTTTATGTGGTGCTGAGGATTGAACCCAGTGCCTCTCGCATTCAAGGCAAATGCTCTACCATTGAGWACAACCCCAGCCCTCCATCATATATTTATCTTGGCATGCAGAGTGCATGTGGGTTACATTACCTTTTCAATAATCTCATAGCATTCCTCCAGTCTTTGAATTCTGTTTTGTGAAATTGCACTAGCTTTTTTATACTCCTGCAACCAATCTTGGTACTCTGTCTCAGTTAAATCAGTATAGGCAATACAGAGAGTCCTCAGACCTGCAAGCAAGAACGTGATCAGCAACCAGCCATCAGGCACAAGTGGAGCATTAAGAAATAATATTCAAAAGCCTTTTAGATGTGCCTCACATGGACCTACCCAGTGTGCTCCTGGCCCCCTTTGCTGTCTTTCCTCTGCTCCTCCTTACTCACAGTAACATCCTTGCTGGTCCTTTTACTTTCAGAATCTTCCACCTTCTCTGGAAGCCACTTCATTTTCCCTTCCTTTCTTCAGTCTGGACCTAAATCACCTGATATACAGTGCCCTGCATCCTTCCCTGCTTCCCTTTTCCTGTTTTTTCTTTGTAGAACTTGGAATCACCTGACATTATCCACTTGTGAATTCCTCAGGAGCTTAAGCTCCACTATTATCCTAGATGTTTGGGAGAGTATATGGCACTTAATAGATGTTCATTAATTACCTGCTGAATAAATGAATGAATGAACAAAGGTTCAAGTTTTCAGTTACTGTCAAATAATCTCCAAAACAACAGAAAATTAACTTAAATCCCATTTTGTGGGGATATTTAAATTTTTTTAAAACCATACTATAATACTTTGCCAAGGCTATCTTGGCATCTATATACTTTAGGATTCCCTACAAACTGACTCTACAGAACACAGAAGTTGTTTCTCTGTTTTGTGTTCAATTATAATAGAGCTCCCATATGGTTGTATGTGGTACAGTCTGCCTACAGCACTTCTATATTTTAATAGCAATAAAAGGTCCAATGTACGACTTTGAAAACTACATCCATACTTTCAGGATGGACATATGCTTGGCTAAATGAAGCAGCAGCTTATAAACTAAAAGGACAAAGTTAGCCTCGGCTTGCCAATATTAGTAGCTTTACTCTTAAATGATATTTTATCTTGCTCTTCAAAGCCTTTGCCAAGCTTTAAGTGAATGTTGTCCTTGGTTGAAATTCATTCATGGAATTATATTTCCTTAAAAGATGATATGTCAACATGAGAAAGACATTGAGAAAATGACAGAAAAATGTCAGTGACGTTGGCTTTTGAGTTATATGTAGAAATAATTAACTACAAAATGTATATAACACATATTGGAAAAGCCTGTGTTTTTCTCCATCTATGGGCCAAGTTCCTAATACAACCAGCTGAAAGGCAACACAGCTTGCAGAAATAGATAATGATGAGCTAAACATAATGAAATACATAGTAAAAACACACATTTTACTGTTTGCTCATAAGCACAAAAGTATTACAAGGAGAAAAAGGGGGAAATAATAATGGTGTCTTAGGATTCCTTGGAGAAACCATTTAATTTCAAGCAAGCAGAAGGCATTATAAAGTCACAAACATAAAAGATCTCTGCATGCCACCTGTGTGCCCAACAAGCATCAGTGACATGCATTCAGGTTATAATCTCAACCTTTAAGAACAACATTTTCAAAAATAAATGGATTCTAAACAACCTCACTTACCTTCTGTGGCAAAAATTTCCAAATGTTTTAATGTGTCCTCCACAAATAGGGAATCTTTTGAAAGTCTCTCATAAATCACTGTGTCCTACAAAAAAATGATTCCTGTAATTAACATCGAATATAAGATTTTAAGTCAACATTCTAAATAGTGCCTTATAATTTTATTGCTGAATCTAGTCGGTGTAAAGGAGTTTAAGCAGCCACAATTCCAGATGAGTTAAGAAATAAGTCTTAAAGAGCATCTCTCTTCACATTGGATAAAACTAAGTCTGACCTACACATTGGAGAAGACAACAGGGAGAGTAATGAAAAAAAAATATCATTGCCTTACAAATCCTCAAATTTATCAAAGAAATTTCAATAATCTAAAAAAAGCACACCTACCCGAAATAATGAGAAGAGTCAAATGCCACACTCTGCATGATTTGAATGCAAATTATTTCTCTAAACTTATAAAAGCAGCCCAAATGTGTGAGCTGCTACTCAAGCAGTAGTTAAGAGGAGATTTATAACACTAAACATTTACATTAGAAAAGAAGACTCCCAAATCAAGTTGTACTTTAGAAAGCTAGAATAAAGAAGAGAAAATGAAACAAAAATTAGACAAATTTATGGAAAAAATAAAGAGTAGAAATCAGTGAAATAGAAGGTAAGAAAGCTTTCAAGAAAAATCAATAAGGTTAAAAGCAGTTTCTTTGAGGAAAATCAATATATCTAATAACTGTCTAGCCAGCCAATCAGGAAAAAGAGAGAAGACAAAAAAATATCAAATTTATAGGTATGCCTGAACAAAATAGACCAATTTCTTGAAAGATGCAATCTGCCAAAACTCACACATGAAGAAATAGACAATCTGAATAGTCCTACATAAATTAAAGAAATTGAACCAATAATCAATCTTCCAAAAGAGAAACAAGAATTAATTTACTGGTAAATTCTACCAATTACTTATGTTCTTTATGATCACTTAAAAAATATAAGCTGAGGGAATATKACCTCTAAAAAATTAAGTTTTTTTTTTAACCAAGGGAGATCAAATATTTAAGAAGACTTTTCACCAAAGAAATAAGTGGATGGTATGCAAGACAGAGTTAACATATCAGGTTAGAGACTGTTATCCTCAGAAACACCTTCTTATAAGGTTGGCCCTTGGCTGGCATCTAGGAACTTGGCTGGTACACAATTCACTAAACTGATATAAACTTTCCCTTTGTGACTCCATGGAAATTGATTCCTCCAGACTCCACCTATGTCTTTCCCCTTAAGATTTGTCTGTGCATTCTTACTGTGCTACTATTATAAATCTTAGCCATGAGGAAACTATGTGATGAGCCTAATGATTCCTGCTAGTAAATCTCCATAGGAATGGTCTTGGAGAACCCCAACACAGATGACAAATAAACCCCAGAAAAGAAGCTCAGTATCCCATCACAGTATGTAAATGTAAATAAAAGCCCCAATGAAATAAACAATTAAAAATAAAAAGGCTATAATTAAAAAGACTAACAACACAAAGTATTGACTAGGATTACTGGTAGGAGTGTAACCACAGTTTGGTTAAACATATACCTGCCATGGGATCCCGTCATTTTACTCCTAGGTATATACATCCAATAAAAATAAAACCAATGAAACTTGCACACAAATGCTGATAGGACTATCATTTGTAGTAGTCAAAACTGCAAACAAAATATCCACCAACAGGTGAATAGATAAGCAGACTATGATACAGCCATCAAATGAAAATACCACTCAGCATCACAAAGAAGTGAACTACTGGTATGAGTTACAATGTGGACAAATCTCAGTATGATTAAGAGTGCAAGAAGCCCAACAAACATGCACACACACACACACCCTTGTTTCATTTATGTAATATTTTAGTGAATGTAAATATATGGTGACAAAAAACAAATCAGGATCAAAACTTAACAATTTGTGCACTTTAAATATATAGTTTATTTTACTTCAATAAACTTTAATCATACCTCAGAAAACTTATATGGTGGTAAATAAACATATAAATACTTTTTAAAAAAGGTTTACAAAGGTTAAAAGAAATTCATGACATGTACCAAATCCAAATTCTTTGAAATGAAACTGGGATCAAAATTCCTATGACAAATTCTTGGCACAAACAATCTTATCATTAGTTCTCAATAAAACAACCAAATGACAGCAAACATATCACTGACGTTAAGCTTAACAAGCATTCTGGTGTCTCACATCAGAACTCTGGCTGTGAGAAAGTTCTTTGGCCACCATGCAATGAAGTTTTAAATCTTGGATAATGCTGTTGACAACCAAAAGCAACAGCAGAGAGAAAACACCATTTAAAGATATTGTTAAGTTGTGAACAACTTTCTACAAGTTGGTGGAGCAGGGAGAGAAAGAGTTCATGTGAATTATGAATCCCAACACTTACTGCCCCTTTGCAGTATAGCCGAAGATGTCCTGCAGGAGTCCGTACAATTATTGACATCCTTTTTCTATTGCTAAAACGATATAAAAATTATCATTATTTTCTTTAGTACATAACACAACTAAAGTCAAAAGAATTCCATAGAGTCCCCAGCTGACAATTGATGAAAAAATCAACATGTTTCTTCAATTGCCAGTCTCTATTTCCTTTTCTTTACCTAGTTCCTTAAACTAGGATCCTAACTGTAAATCTCTCCAACCTTCTACTACTACTACTACTCAGAAGTTACTCTTCTTTTCTAACATGGAAATTCACTAGCACAAGTACATATATAATATATATCACATGTGTAACATATTTATATCATATAAAATGATTATGATATATGTAATGAATGTAGACTTTATCATGTAACATATATTACACGTATTATAATAAATGTAATATAGTTACTGGTATTAAACATATGTAAATTTTATTATATTAATGATACAAAATATGTACATATATTAAAATATATTTTATATGTTATATATTATGTTTTATATACATGCTATATATTATATTTTAATTTCTATTATTATATTATCATAAGTACATAAAATAAAATAATCATTAAAATCTTTGAAGGCAGAAAAGGAAATAATCAAGAACGTGAAGAGAGAGCCTACAGAATGGGAGAAAATCTTTGCCATCTGCACCTCCGACCATTAATCTCCAGGATATATTAAAAAACTCAAAAAACTTAACACCAAAAAAAAAACAAATAACCCAATCAAAAATGGGCAAAGGAACTAAATAGACCATTTCACAGAAGAAGAAATACAATCGGTCAACAAATGTATATATTAAAAAGTTCAACATCTCTGCAATTAGAGTGGAAATTAAAACTACACTGAAATTTCATCTCACTCCAGTCAGAATGGCAATTATCAAGAATATAAGTAATAATAAATGTTGATGAGGATGTGGGGAAAAGGTACACTCATACACTGCTAATGGGACTGCAAATTGGTTCAACCACTATGGAAAGCAGTATGGAGATTCTTCAGAAAACTTGGAATGGTACCACCATTTGACCCAGTTATCCCACTCCTCGATATATACCAAGAAGACTTAAAGTCAGCATATTATAGTGATGCGGACACATCAATGTTTACAGCAGTTCAATTCACAAAAGCTAAGCTATGGAACCAACCTAGATGCCCTTCAACAGAATGAATGGATAAAGAAAATGTGGTACATACACACAATGGAATATTATTCAGCCTGAAAGAGAAATAAAATTATGGCATTTGCTGATAAATGTAACTGGAGTTTATCATGCTAAGTGAAATAAGCCAACACCCCAAACTAAAGGCCTAATGTTCTGCCTGATATGCAGATGTTGACTCACAATAGGTGGGGGAAGGGAGGAATGGAGATTCACTGAATTGGACAGGGGGAGAAACAGGAAGGGAGGGAGAATGACAATTGGAAAAACAGTAGAATGAATCAGACATGATATTCCTATGTTCAAATATGAATACACAACTAGTGTATCACGTAAAACCACAATAAAGGGAAATTATACTCTCTGTATGTATGATATTCTACTGTCCTGTATAACYAAAACACATTTACTGTCATGTATAACTAAAATGAACAAATACAAAATTTAAAAAAAAAAATAAATGGATGAAGGAAGAACAAACCTGCCCYGGGCTTCATGTATTATTCCATCCTCACAACTCTTTGGTGGATCTTCCTGTCCCCATTTTGCTGCCCTACCCTCAGTGTCCACTTGTAGTATCCCTAGGTTCTGACAGGGCCACTACAAGTTCACAGGGTAGAGACTCTGCTGTTGAACTAAACTCAACCAAAAGACAGTGCATCTTGCTTTATACACAAACCAATCAATCTTCACTCAATCTTCAGCTGTACTTTAATACAAATAATAGAAGAGACAAAAACCAAAACTAACAACCAAGCCTCAAGTAGAAACAGATAGAGGTGGGCCCCCAGGTCCCACCTGTGGTCATTTACTATTACAGCAGAAACAGAGAATTAACATATAAGCTGTCGATACCACACCTACAAAGGAATCTCAGTCTAGATCACTCCAGCAAGTGAAGACTGTGTCCAGAAAAGGCCCACCCAGTATCTCCCAGACTCAACATAGAAATACGAAAAATTCAAGATAAACAACACCTCCTCAGGTTTATAATTCACCAGCAAATGACTCCAAAGATATTGAAGTGGATTAAATATCAGATGAAGAATTCAAAAGAATCATTATAAAAATAATCGATGGATTCCAAGAGACCAAAGAAAAACAAATGAAAGAATTAAGGAAGTCAGTATAGGATATGAATGAGAAATTCCATAAAAAGATAGAAATATTGAAAAAGAACCAAACATAAACTTGGAAATTAAAGACAAAATAAATCAAATATATGTTCAGCTGAAAGTCTCTAAAAGTAATCCATTTTGAAGACAGAATCTCAGAGTTGGACAACAAAATGGCTAGCCTTCATGGTTGAGTTTAGATCAACAGCAGAGTCTCTACCCTGTGAACTTGTAGTGGCCCTGTCGGTATCCAGGGATACCACAAGTTGACAGAGTAGGGCAGCAAAATGGGGACAGGAAGATCGATTTGAAAGAGTTGTGAGGATGGAATAATACATGAAGCCCAGGGCAGGTTTCTTCTTCCTTCACCAGCTTCCAGGATGAGCGCAAACTAAAAGAATTCATGACAACTGAATCAGCTCTATAGAACTTACTTATTGAAATACTCCACACAGAAGAAATTTACAAAAAAACCCTCAGAGTTCATAAATGAAAAAAATCTCATTTTAAGAGTAGCTAAGTAAATGAGAAACAGGACAAAATTAAACATTATAAATAAATCAAAATGGCAGGAATTAATAAGCATCTCAGGAATTGATAAACATCTCCTGGTAATAACTTTGAATGTAAATGGTCTCAACTCTCCAACTAAAAGACATAGGCTAACAGAATGAGTTTAAAAAGCAATCCTCAACAATATGCTATTTGTAAGAAATTTACTTTATAGGCAAAGACACCCACATGATGAAAGWAAAAGGATGGAAATTGATGTATCATGCAAATGGAGCTCTAAAATAGGGAGGAGTAGCTACTCTCTATCTTACAAAGTACACTACAAACCAAAATTAATCAAAAGAGACAAAGGAGGTCACTTCATACTGGTAAAGAAAAATACTGGTAAAGAGAAAAATACAAGAAGAAATAGCAGTAGTAAATATTTATGCCCCAAATATGGTTGCAATTACATAAAAGAGACACTACTCAAATTGAAGTCTCATGCCCCAGCATAATAATACTGAATGATTTCAACACATCTCTATCACTATTAGATCATACAGACATAAATTCAGTAAAGACTCTTTAGACCTGAAAAATATTATAAATCAAATGCACTTAGCAGACAGCTATAGAATATTTCATCAAACAGATGAATATACTCTTCTCAGTGACTCATGGAACCTTCTCCACAACAAACCATATATAGGCCACAAAGCAGCTCTTAGTAAATACAAAATATAATTCTTTGCATCTTATCAGATCATAATGGATTGAAATTAGAAATCAACATGACAAAACTGTACAGAAACTATGTAAATTTGTGGAGATTGAACAATACACTTTTGAATGATGAATAGGTGATAAAAGAAATTAAGGGAGAAATTTAAAAATTCTTAGATTCAAATGATGATAGTGATACAACATATTAGAACCTCTGGGACACTATAAAGGCAGTTCTAAGAGGACAGTTTATATGTGTATGTTCCTACATAAGAAAATCAGACAGATCCCAAATGAACAACCTAACGATGCATCTCAAAGCCCATGAAAAAGGATAATAAACCAATTCCAAAACCAGTAGGAAGAAGGAAATAGTTAATATCAGAGCAGAGATCAATCAAATTGAGAATAAAAAAATACAGAAGACCAATGAATGGTTCTTTGAAAAGATAAACAATATTGATAAGCCCATAACCATACTAACCAAAAGAAGAAGAGAGAAAAYACAAATTAATAAAATTAGAGATGAAAAAGGAGGGATTACCAATTACAGAATCCAGTGGATCATTAGGAAATATTTTGAAAACTTATACTCCAATAAGCTGGAAAACCTAGAATAAACAGATACATTTCTGGACAAATACAATCTATGAAAACTGAATCAAAAAGACAGAGTAAACCTAAAGAAACCAACAACTAGCAATAAATGGGAGAAAATCTTTGCTAGCTACTCTTCTGACAGAGAAATAATATCTAGAATACATGAAGAATTCAAAAAACTTAACAGTAGTCAGAATGGCAATGATCGAGAACACAAACAACWACAAATGCTGGTGAAGTTGTGGGAAGAAAGGAACACTCAGACATTTTTGATGGGACTGTGAACTAGCCCAACCACTCTGGAAAGCTATATGGAGATTCCTCAAAAAAATAGGAATGCATCGAATATACGACCCTACTACCCCACTCCTAGGTATTTTCTCAAAACATCTAAAATCAGTGTACTACACTGACACAGCCACATCAATGTTKATAGCAGAAAAATTCATAGTAGCTAAATTATGGATGCCTACTAACAGATGAATGGATTAAGAAATTGTGTATAAATACACAATAGAGTTCTACTCAACCATTAAAAAGAATGAAATCATGGCATTAGCCAGTGTATGGATGGAAATGGAGAATATCATGCTAGGAGAAATTAGCCAAACTCGGAAACTCGAAAGTTTAATATTTTCTCTCATATGCAAAAGCTAGAGTAAAAGAAGTGAAAGGATGAGAGAAGGATAGGAGAGCATAAATATCCAACTATAAATTAATAGGCCAATGAAAGGAAGTCTAGTAGAGTAGAGGAAAGACAATGGGAGAGGGGAGGGAAAATGGGAAGCAAAAAGAGGGGGATCATGAAGTAAAATTGATTTCCGTGTATGTATGAGTTTGTCGGGATGAACCTGACTACTATTTATAGCTATAAAGCTCYAATACTAATTTAAAAAGGATATATAAAGCAAATTTCAAAAATCTCACATTTCAAAAAAATGTTAAAAGAAGTACAAATATTTAAGCCATGGAGTTAATATACTATAATTAATCAAAGATATGGAAAATMAAAATAAAAATAAAAAAAGATTTTGGAAAAAGCTCTCAAGGTGTGTGTGAGGGGAAGTTGATGACAACTTTGCCAAGTCTTAAAAACTTGTTAAATTTCTTTTGGTTTTTTTAAAAATGTCGTTAGGAAACAAGTCTTTAAAAATATGATATAAACAGAATCATCCAACTTTGAGAAGAGTTAATGAGTAACTTCATCATTTCCTTTCTTAAATTTTCAGTTTCTACATTAGAATGCTCAAAGAGTTCAAGAGATATGATTTCATAGGTCTTGCAGAAAAGTTCAATAAAATTAGTATTGGYATCACCATCCTCACAATGTACTCTGGGGAATTAGCTGTTGGTGCTAGAACAACAACCCACTGAAGTGTAAGAAGCAGGAAGGACTTGAAYGCACATCACTGCCCTTTAAAAAGAAAAAAATGAATTAATTTACTGTCTACTTTTAAAGAAACATGTTGGGTTTTTGAAAATAATTTCCAACATCAATCCTTCCACTAATTATTCACTGAGTATTTCCTGGACAGCAGACCCTACAGAAGGTGATCATTGCCCTTGGGAGCTATTGTCTAGTCAGTGAGATGGTAAAATTATAACAGATCCAAAATTGCAATTCTGACCTTGGCGAGTGCTATCAAAGGGAGGTATTTGACTCTGTACACAACTTACTAAGGAGAATTTGGCCTAATGAGTTCTTTGCAAAAACCAAGAACTGAGCTAAGATTTCCACATAGAGGCTAACAAGACTTTCATGATTCTGTTTTGAAATTTTGATTCACATTACCAAATCTCAATTGGAAAAGTTGTGGAAACTGACTTTGAAAATACATGAACTGTATGAGAAGAGAGCTTACCTAGAGAACTCCAGGATGTTAAGGATTTCAAAAGTGTGTGTTTCTGTCATCTACAGGAAGATAAAAAAAAATTCTTAGAGGAAAAACGCATTCATCTTATAAAATAATCCACAGCCCCAGTCACAAATGTTTTACTCTCCAAATACACATCTTTTTCAAAATATAAATTTTCTTGCAATTCTAATGAGATGACAATGTCCTCCTCTGGTAAGAGCATTGTTTGCAACATGGGAAGTATTACCATGAATGTTTCTAAGGACACCAAATTAGGACAAAAGCACCTCATTTTTCAATCTAAAATTAGCACTAGTATAAACATTTTATAAATACTTTCTAGAGTGCAGGGACACACATACACACGTAGTATAAGAGACAATCATCAGACAATAATGGAAAAATAAATCTTTTCAATAAATTGCAAAGAGCAAATGAAAACATTATTAATTAATTTGAAGAGATGGACAACAGTAAGAGGTGATAGGATATATATATATATATATATATATATATACATATAAAAAGGTCTATAGCAATGATGCTTTCTTTTCTAAGTTTTTCAGTTACTGTCTCTTGAGTTCTAATAGCTAAGATCAATTTATCTTTGAATCTACCAATTCCCAGCATCATCAATAAGGCAGTGATGTGTGGCAGAATTTCAAATAATTTCAGAGTTGTCTGTGTGCCAGGTACTCTAGATATAATGATTAATTAATTTTTTACCAAAGTTGCAAACACCCCTAACCATCCCACTATCACTAGGGGAAAAATCAGCATGTCGGCTACTATGTTTGCATTATTTCAATTTTCTCCCACAATATCAAAGACTCTTGGTGAATAATTATCAAACAGAAAAAGTATATAAAAGGCATATAAATGTATATATATACACAAAAAAATAAAATAAAAAAATCAATATACTAACAGAATTCACAAAAATATTTAAACAATGTGAATTTCACATAGAAAATCATAGTACATGTCTCAAAGTTATGATGATTTTAACTCTTTGGAATAACTCACTTAAATTGTGTACTTTCTATGTGCCAGACACTAATCCCAATCACTCTCTATGTATTAACTCATCTAATCTTCACAAACTCTGTGTAAATGCACAATAATAAAACAAGACAAACTTAGAGAAGTGAAAGAAGGTCCCTGAGGACAATGTTTGGAAAGGGGTGAGATAAAGAGGGAATCCCAGAACCTTCAGGGTTCCTACTCTGAACCATGGTACACCTGTACTTCTATTGAAAATCAGGAGTCTGTAAAACATTCAAAAGTATTCAGTGTCCTACTCACAACTTCTATGGTGACAGAATAAGGTGTTCTTGTGGTGAAAACAAAGCCAAGTTTTTTTGCTCCTTTCACTAAAGCAGCTTCATCTGTCAATAAATAGTCCATATTAATAGGCATCAAGCAATATCCAAACCAAATTTAATTTAATACAGATTTGCATTCTGCAATACTAAAATACTTTGACATATTTTAAAGTTGACTTTTTTGATCCAAGTGTATTTATCTGTCGTCCTTCTAGGTACTAGTGCTCATGAAGAAGAAATCTGGTTAAATATGGCCTTTTTCTGGACTAAGATGAATTTACCCAGCTAACAGCACTACTACACATAATGATTTTGCTTGTTCTCAATGACATTCATAATATCCTCATAAAATATGGCAGGGCCTTAAATTCACCTCTGCTTTATTCCTGGTTATGACCAAAACACTGCTGAGCTCTCCAGGCCCAAGAGCCCATCTTGGCCTCTTTACAACAATCTTTGAAATGAGAGACAAGGAGCCCCAGGGTTGTAGAATGGCTCTGAGCTGCTCTGCTCTGCGTATCCCCACTAGTGAGAATTTCAGGGAAAGAAAGAGGTAGGAATAATGGATATCAGCAGCAGCAGCAACTTCTCCTGAAGCCTCATTACCCTCTAGGATCAATGAGGTGCACACTTTCTTTGTATATGACACCTACCTGGGGAGGAAGCCTGGTAGAGTATATCATTTCCACATCTCTCAGGAATAACTGTGTGGCACACACATAAGAGGGTAAGGAATTCCTTAATGTATTCTGATGAGGGCTAGAAAAAGATGCAGAGATAATGAGTCTCCTAAATGCCAGCAATGTGGAAATTATACAGAATCTGCAATTTTGTACCAACTGAGGTATGGTGCCTGAGGTTTAAACCTCAGGAACACACAAGCCAGGCCCCAGCCAAGAAACTTATGATGGATTCAAAAAGTGTTTGTGGGTGGCTACCAAGTCAGGGACAGTAGAGGAGGCTAGGAAGACATCAGAATGGCCCTGCCCTCTTAGACCTTCTGTCCTCCTGGGGGAGATAGAATTTCTCGAAGCTGGAGGGAAAAAAAAACAGGGCCTGTGACAGAAAAAGAGGAGTCTATTTCAGACAGGTGGCCAGGGAATCTCAGGAGACAGTTAAATTAATATCCAAACAAAAAAGGTTTATTCACTGTTTGTAGAGTTGTCACTTGTGGTGGCCTGTACCTGACATAGGACACAGCAAGTTCAGAGGACCTGAAGCAGAAAGCAGCTTTGTGTGATTGTGGTGCCTCTAGACAAGTGTGACCTTTAGCACCTTGAGCAAAAGACGGTGCCAAAGAATGAGGTTGGAGAGAAGGCCATGGTTATGAGTTTGGATTTTATCCTTAGTGCAGTGCCAGTACTCAGAGGGTATTTAAGCAAAGAACAAACAGGTATGGATGTATGCTTTAAAAGATCACTTTTTTTATAGAAGATCAAGGTTTCAAATCTAGTATATCAGTATGTTGGAATAATGAAGATATTGATGGCATGCAATACAATGAAGATAGTTGAAAAATAGATAGCTACATAGTAAAAGGTGTTGTATGATGTTTAAATGCACACACAATAAAGTCAGTGTTTGGCTCATYATATTGGTGCAAAAAAATTCCTTTGCACCAGAAATTCTTGGTTGGTGGATCAGTCTTTTCCAAGACTTTCTTCTACTGGGTTCAGAAAATTATATTTCTTTTAGGAAATTRCATGTAAGTTTTAAAGTTATACAGCATTATCATGTCCATTTTGAAGGGAAAATAGCAGACTTACATGACCATCCTCAAAGTTCTCCAATAATTTAGGGTCATTAAATTCACAGAAAGATGCTCGACTATGAGGAAGAATACAGAAGATTACTTTTGACCAGGAGTCCCTAATGGCACCAGCCAATACTCAAAAAGAGAAGGATCCACAGAGTCTATAGAGTTGTAGTAAATATCTAAAATTCAGTTAAATGATACATCTTCCCAGACATCAAGTGCAAAATGGCATTAGAAATACCTACACTTGTACTGAAAACTGTATGCAAGTTGAGCATCCCTAATTAAATAATCTAAAATCTGAAATGCTATAAAATCCAAAATTTTTTGACAACCAATGTGATAAAACAAATGGAAAATTCCAAACCATGAAACCTTTCTTCATGAACAAAATTATCAAAAATATTGCATAAAAATTACAATTAAGCCTGTCATGGTGGCACACATCTGTAATGCCAGCAATTTAGGTGGCTGAGGCAGGAGGATTGCAACTTTGAGGCCAGCTTCAACAATTTAGTGAGGCCCGAAGCAATTATGCAAGAACCTGTCTCAAAATAAAAAATAAAAAGGGCTTGTGATGTAGCTCAGTGTTTAAGTGCCCCTGGGTTAAATCCCCAGTACTGGAAAAAATATATATAGTTAAGAGGATTAATTTCTAGTGTTTTATTTCCATAGTAGGGTGACAATAGCTAACAATCATTTATTGTATATTTCAAAATAGCTAAAAGAATACTTTGAACATTYTCAGCACACACCCACAAAATAAATGAAATGATGGTTATATAAATTACTTTGATTTGATCAATGTACATTGTACACAGGTATGAAAATATCACACTATACCCCATAAACATGTATAATTATTATGTGTCAATTTAAATCTAAAAATCTGTATAAAATCACCTTCAGGCTATGTGCATTAAGTTGTATATAGATATCTCATTACATATACTCAAATATTGAAAAACATCCCAAATCCCAAACATTCCTGGTCCCAAGCATTTCAGGAAAGGGATACCCAATCTGTTAGTTAAAAATAATTTGAAACAAAGTAACTTCAAAAGCAGTAAATTACAGGATAAATTCTAAGTTTTTTGAATATGATATGGGAGAGATCTACCCAGGGAGCTTTCTGGAAGCTGCCATTTGAGGTCTGGACAAGAGGAAGGTGATACAAATCAATACTCTAGTATTCATAAGAGTTGACTTCAGGGAAAAGGAACAAAGGCAAAGTAGGAAAGAAAAATGTTCGTACCTGAGGTTTTCGTTACCATTGTCAGTATTGTCTGAATGATTTCTAAGAGAAAATGAAGGAAGAAATACACATGTTACAAGATTATCGATATAAAACTCTTCAAAAATTCCAATCATCTATAAAAGCAAATATAARCCATATTTTTAAACAACCACAAGCTTTCATTCAGGCTCTATTAAGTTTCAATATCATTCAGATACAACTATACTATTAGAAATTCAGATAAGTCTTAGAATAAATAAAAGCTAACTCATTTTAAGAAAAAAATKATAGGAAGAAAATAGTGGGTAACAGCCTCCTGCATAATTCATGCCCCCTGCTTGGATATACACAATGGAATATTACTCAGCATTAAAAGAGAATAAAATCATGGCATTTGCAGATAAATGGATGGAGCTGGAGAAGATCATGCTAAGTGAAGTAAGCCAATCCCAAAAAACCAAAGGCCAAATGTTTTCTCTGATAAGTGTATGCTTATCGATTAATGGGGGTAGGGAGGGAGCATGGGAGGAAAGGAGGAACTTTGATTAGGGCAAAGGGGAGGGAGGGGAAGGGAGAGGATATGGCGTAGGAAAGATGGTGGAATGAGATGGACATCATTACCCTAGGTAACATGTATGAAGACACGAATGGTGTGACTCTATTTTGTATACAACCAGAGATATGAAAAATTGTGCTCCACTTGTGTACTATGAATCCAAATGCATTCTGCTGTCATGTATAACAAATTAGAACAAATAAATTAAAAAATAAAAAAATAGTTGTTGAGCTGCTGGAAGATGAATTGGATCCCCMAAAAAAAGAGAAAATGGTCAGCAGGAGTGGAGGAATATTGTGAGTTTTTGTTATTTGTTTCTGTTTTGGGTTTTTTGTGGTTTTACTGTTTGTTTTAGAAAAATTACAGTTTTTTGGTTTTTTTAAGTGGAGTATTCTACAACAATTCAGGGCATGCCTGGCTGCTTAGTGGGGGAGGGGAAACCCCTTTTCAGAGTGCTGAAGGCAAAATGGCCAAGGGAGGGAGGGGACCATACAGATCACAAGAATTTTTTACATCACCATCATATAGATACTCTGTTTGAACATAAAGGAGATTTAAATGCAGTGCAACAAACTGGGGTGACTCGGGATCAGAGCTGCTGGAGAAAGTGAGAGCTGGGACCAGGATCCATCTTAAAAGGGCAAAATTGTACACAGAAGAGCAGGGATCACCACACTCTTTTGCGTTATAACTTTTTCTACGCTGTTTTCAACATCCACAAGATCCAACGTAGACTCCATGAGTCTCCATCTTTTTTTTTTCTTTCTTTCTTTTATTCTTCTTTCTCACTGGAAAGGTAGGTTCCCAGCCCAAAAATCATACTGGGAGTTCTGACTAAAAGGCTGAATCATTGGATGGCGTGGTGCCAGACAATTCCTAAACACAGAAGCCACAGTCTGGCAGTTTGGAAGGTTCAGAGTTTTTGAGGGGGAAATCTATCGGAGCCACATTTGCTACTCGGGCCTCTCAGGCAGACAGCAAGAGCTGCTGTCAAGCCTGAGCTGCAGACATGCACCTGCAAACCAATTCATAGTGTGGGATTTTTAGAACTGCCTACCATGGGATATCTACTACAGYTATGGAGTTTAATAGTCCAGCCCAGGCAACACACCGCAGCCAATCTCCTAGGACTGACCCTTGGAGACTCTCAGACCCATTCTAAAGCCCTTTAGCAATAAAGAAAAGCCAGCTCCAATTGTAAAAAATTATCATGGGGTTAACAAGGTCTTATCAGCAAGTGAGCACACCTGCTGGGATTCACAGACTCTCTGGGTCACCCAAGGTCCCATCTTTTCTCCAGTTGATGGCAGGGGGCTCCCATTTAAACTGGGCAGGTGGATCTTTCAGACCAGCAGAACCACTAGCACCAAAAAGAGAAGGAATAGTTATTTTTCAGTTAGTCCCTGGGACAAGGTGTTTACTCAGAACACAAACTGCTCTTCCACCCTGGGAAAGAGCAGGCAACAAGGTAGAAGACACTCAAAAGTTTCCATCCAACAATCCTACCAGCTTTTAGATGATCCATTAAAAAATTATCTGTAACCACATAAGCTCATACCAAAGGCAGACAAATGGATACCAGCATAGAAAAATGCAAGAACTTGAGTGCAGGGAAGCCTCTGAATCAAAAGTCTGATGTAGAAAGATCTAATAATCTAAGATCTAATAATAAACATACAGGTGAGTCACTCTGAGGTTCCAATATAACCTTCTATATCTACAACACCTCCTGATAGCAGACAGTCCAAACCAGGAGGTCTCACTAAGAACTATCTTTATCTCAGAAACATCAGCAAGGAATAAATTTTGATTCCTTGCTGTTAGTCTTTATTAGACTGGTATCATTTTATGTATTAATTTAATGGATTCCCTGACTCTATTGGAAATTGTATTACTTAATCCATAATCTTATGCATTTTTATCGATAATGTAATAATGTGTTAATTGGACAGATCCATACTACCAGGATTTTTTTGTTGGTTTGTTTATTTTTTGTACCAGGGTTTGAACCCAGGGGCATTTAACCACTGTGCTACATCCCCAGCCCTTTTTAATTTTTGAGCCAGGATCTTACTAAGTTGCTTAGGGCCTCACTGAGTTGCTGAGGCTGGCCTTGAACTCACCATCACTCCTGCCTTAGCTTCTAGGGTCACTGGGATTACAGGTGTGAGCAACAGTGCCTGGCTGTTTTTTATTTTTAATTATACTCTACTCATTTTTTCTTTTTCTCTCCTTTCTATTACCTCTCTTGCCTACCCTCTTTCCCTACTTCTTCTTTTTCTTTTTTTTTTAATTTATTCTGCTGTTGTTACATGATCATTGATTATATTTTGCTTAATTTTGGCCTCTGAGCTGCATCCCCAAATCCCTTTGCTTTTAGTGTTGAGAAATATTCCATTCAAGGAGAGTTTTCCTAGGTAGCTGGAACGGTCCTTTGCCTTATAATCAAACTGCCTTGGCCCTCTGGACAGCTAGGGTTCCAGAGGGGTGTCTTTACCCATGGCTTTTTAAAAAAAATTTATGTAAAATTTTGTACTAATTGGACCTATTCATTTTGTTTCTCTTCTTACTCACTTCAACATTTATCTTATACTGCCACCCTTTCTTCTCTCTCTCATCACTTCTCCATTTTTTGCCTCTACCCTTGTGCTTTCCATACCTGACTTATTTTCAAATTTTGTATTCTTTTGTTCATGTATATGAATGTATGTTATTTTTATTTTTTGAGGGTGTGTTGGGATGGGTTCTGCTTTGGGGTCAGGTTTTTCTTCTGTTGGTTTAGTTCTTTAGTTTTTCTGTTTTTGTTTTGTTTTAGTTTTTTATTCTTTATATTTTTGTATTTACTTATTTTGTACACTGCTTTGTTCTCTATATTCTAGTTTTCCTTTTTTTGTTAGGTTAACATCAGTGATTTGGGGTGTTTACTTTTTAATGGGAGGTTGCTTGTCATTTTTTTTTCTGGGTAATGTATTAATTAAATTTATATAATACATTTTACATCTGTTTTCTACACTGACAGCCTCTCTTTCTTCATCTACTCACATTTTAATGTTCTGCCTTTCTTCCTTCCCCCTTCCTATTATTTTTCTCTGTTTCTCCTTTCTTTTTCCTTTTATCCAGTCACTTTTTTTCTCTTTCATTTTCATGCCCTATGTAGTATAATAACAATTCCATTTATTTAATAAAATTCTTTCAACCTATTAGCATACTATCCCCCATCCTCCCACTTTAGATGTAGTGGAGTTATAGAAAACTCTTTAACAAGTGTAAAGACTTAGTAGTAGATGATTTGCTCTTTTGTATTTTCAATTACAGGTAATAGTAAGCTCCCCATATGTGTGGAAAGTGATGGATCAAAATACTGAAAACATATTGACTGGACTCTTGGAACACCCAGTAAAGTGAAAGCAGCCTACTGGAGAATATTCCATTCAAGGAGAGTGGCAAATCTCAACACAAAAATACAGAAAACATGGGAAAGCAAGGAAATAAAATGCCTCCAAAAGTCTTTAACCCCCAAACAACTGAATCATCATTGAAATGAATGAAATGCCAAAGAATTTTAAAATTTGGTGAATAGAATGATCAAGGAAGAAGAAGATTCAAGAAATGAACTAAGAGATAATATAGGTTATCATATGGTAAATCATTTCAATAAAGACATAGATAGTCTGAAATAAGACAAATAGGTATGCTAAAATAAAATAATAAATCAAATTAGATTAGATCATACAGGAGACAGATTTTCGGGCCTCAAAGGAAAGGTATATAATCTTTAAAATTTGGCAATAAAAGTGATAAGAGATCATGACGAGGATATTCAGGATTAGACAGCATGAACAGATCAAATATGAGAATCACTAGCACTGAGGAAGGAAACAAGATCCAACTAAGGGTGTGCAAAGCCTTTTCGGTGAAATAATTTCCGGAAAGATTCCAAATCTTGGAAATGACATGGCTTTGGAAACCCCAAATAGACAAAATCAAAAATAATCCTAAGACACATTATAATTAAAATGTCTAATATAAAGAACAAGAAGAGAATTTTAAAAGCTTCAAAAGGAAAACATCATGTTTTAGTCAGCTTTTTCACTGTTTTAAGCAAAAAGCCTGAGAAGAACAATTAAAGGAGCAAAAGTTTATTTGGGAGCTCACAGTTTCAGAGGTCTCAGTGCATAAATGACTGATTCCATTGCTCTGGACTCAAGGCAAGGCAAAACATCATGATGGAAGAGTGTGGTAGAGGAAAGTGGCTCAGGATATCACACCAGGAAGACTCCACTTGCCAAGGACAAAATATATATGCTAATGTCATGCCTCCAGTGAGCTACCTCCTCCACTCACACCCTACCTGTGTTCAGTTACTAATCAGTTAATCCCTAGCAGGGGATTAATTCACTGATTTGATTAACTTTCATGACTCAATCATTTCATCTCTAAACATTCTTGCATTGTCACACACATGAACTTTTGGGGGGACACCTCATATGTAAACCATAACACAGTAGGTTGCATTTAGAGGCAAACAATGGGAATTAGCACTGATCTCTTGGCCCAGATTTTAAAAGCCAGGAGAGTTGGAATAACATATCACAAGTTTTGAAAGATAATGATTGCCAACCAAGACTGCTTTATTCAGTAAAGCTATCCTTTGGATTTGATGAAATAACGACCTTTCATGAAAGCAGAAAATAAAAGAATTCATGACTACTAAATCAACTTTATAGCAAATATACATTTCATGCAAAGGAAATGCAAAACTAACTCAAAGAAAGCAAATAAATGAATCTTAGTAGAAGAAGAGCTTAGTAAAGGGAAGCTTGAATAAAACATTTAAATAAAGACGACAAGAGGTAATAATCACCTCTCTATAACAACTGAATGTAAATATCCTCAAGTCTTTAATTAAAGACATAGATTGACAGAAGAGATTAAAAAACAGGACTAAACCATATTTTGAGAGACTCACCTGCCAGGCAAGGACACCCACAGAATGAAGGTGAAAGGTTAAAGAAAGATATACCATGCAAATAGAGACTAAAAACAAGTGAGACTCTCATATCTGACAAAGTAGACTTAAAGTTAAAATTAATCAGAAGAGACAAGGAAGTTTGTTCCATCCAACAAAAGAATATAAGGATTGTAAATATTCATGTCCCAAATGCTGGTACATCTACACACACACACACACACACACACACACACACATACACACACTCACACACACAAAATTACTATCAATTAACTGGACCTAACAAACATCTATAAAATATTTCACTGAAATGAATTCACTTCATCTCAGCATCAAATGGAATCTGTATCAAATGGGGCCCATGCTTTAGGACACAAAACAACATTTAGCAAATAGAAAAAATAGAGATAATTCTTGCACTTTATCAGATCATAATGGAATTAAATTAGAAATTGATAACAAGATAAAAACAGAAACAATTTTAACACATGGAGATTGAGTGATACACATTTGAATGAGGAATGGATTGGAGAAAAAAATCAGGGCAGAAACAAAGTTCTTGGAAACAAACAAGAACAGATATACAACATAACAAAATCTCTGGGACAATATGAAGGCAGTTCTAAAAGGAAAGTGGAATCACTACACTAAAAAAAAAAAATATATATATATATATATATATATATACATATATCTTACAATAATAATCTGTCATTACACCTCCAAGCCCCAGGAAAGGAAGAAAACACTAATTCCAAAATCAGTAGAAAACAAGAAATAATTAGACTCAAAGCTGAAATAAATAAAATTGAAAATAAAAAAACAATATAAAGGAACAATGCAACAGAGTTGGTTCTTTGAAAGCAAGATTGATAAATCCAAAAGAAAGAGAATATCCAAATCAAAGTTACTGACACTTTTGATATCCAGAGCATCATTAGAAACTGTTTTGAGAATTCATACTCCAATAAACTGGAAAATCTATATGATATTGACAAATGTTTAGAAACATATGACTGACCCAAATTAAAACATGCAGGTATAGAAAACATAAACAGACTCATATCAAGCAATGATATTGAAACAATGTTTTGGCCAGATTTTCATCACTGTGAACAACAGACCTGACAAGAACAGCATGGAGGAGGAAAGCTTATTTAGGGCTCACAGTTTCAGAGGTCTCAGTTCTTGTTCCAAGGTGAGGCAGAACTTCAATGCAGAAGAACATGTGAGAGGAAAGCAGCTGAAAACATGGCAATACAGAAGCAAAGAAAGACCTCTGCTAAGGACAAAATGCAAACCCCAAAGCCACACCTTGTCTCTTCCAGCCACACCCTACATGCCTATAGTTATTGCCCTGTTAATCCATAGCAATGGATTAATGCATTGGTTAGGTTAAAGCTCTCATAACCCAATCATTTCACCTCTAAACTTTCTTTAAAAATTTTTTTTTTATTTGTAGATGGACACAGTACCTTTGTTTTATTTTTATATGGTGCTAAGGATCAAATCAGTACCTTCCACATGCAAAGCGAGCACTCTACCACTAAGCTACAACCCCAGCCGTCACCTCTTAAGCTTTCTTGCATTATCTTACACATGATCTTTGGGGAGACACATCATATCTAAACCATAGAAAACAGCAACAAATAAAAGCMCAGGACCAGATGGATTCTCAACTGAGTTCTACCAAAGCTTCAAAGAAGAACTAACAATAATCCTCCTCAAATTATTTCATGAAATTGAAAAGGAGGAAACTGCCAAATTAATTCTATGAAGCCAGTATCACCCTGATACCAAAACCAGACAGACACATAAGAAAGAAAGCTAAAGATCAACATCTCTGATGAACATAGACCACAAAATTCCTTCRTAAAATATTGGCAAACTGCATTCAAAAACACATTAAGCATAAAGTACACCATGACCAACTGAGTTTTATCCCGGGGATGCAAGATTGTTTTAATATACAGAAATAAATAAATGTAATTAATCACATAAACAGAATTAAGAACAAAAACACTAGATCATCTCAATAATGCAGAAAAAGCCTTTGACAAAATCCAGCACCCATTTATGTTTAAAATGCTGGAGAAACCAGAGATAGAAGAAACTTTCTCAACCTTATAAAGGCTATATGAAAAAACCAAGGCCAACATCATACTGAATGGAGAAATAAATGAAAATATTTCCTCTAAATTCAGGWAAAGGACAAGAATGTTCATTCTCACCACTTCTATTCGATATTTTTAAAACTCTAGCCAGAGCAATCAGGTAAGAAAAGAAAATTAAAGGGATGTAAATATGAAAAGAAGAAGCTAAATTATCTGTTTGCTGATGACATGATCCTATTCCTAGAATCATACTCCCCCTGAAAAAAAAAACCCACCAGAAGACTTCTGTTGCTGACAAACGAATTCACCAAAGTAGCAGGATACAAGATCAGTATACAAAAATGATAGCTTTCTTATACTCCAGTGAATCTGTTGAAAAACAAATCAAGAAAACTTCTGCATTCACAATATTCTCAAAAAAAGTAATACTTGAGAATAAATCTAACTAAAGAGGTGAAAGACCTCTACAATGAAAACTATAGAAAACCAAAGAAAGAAATTGTTTAAGACCTTTGAAGATGGAAATACCTCCTATATTCTTGGGTATTCAGAATTAATAATGTCAGAATGATCATACTACCAAAATGTTACACAGATTTAACGCAATCCTCATCAAAACAGTGACAGTCAGATTCGGTGGTTCATGCCTGTAATCCCAGTGGCTGGGGAGGGGGGTGGGCTGAGACAGGAGGATCACAAGTTCAAAGCCAGCCTCAGCAAAAACAAGGCACTAAGCAACTCAGTGAGATCCTATCTCTAAATAAAATACAAAATAGGGCTGGGGGCATGGCTCAGTGGTTCAGTGCCCCTGAGTTCAATCTCTGGTACCAAACAAACAAACAAAACACCAATGACATTCTTCAAATAACCAGAAAAAATAATCCCAAAATTCATATGGATGAATAACAAATTATATATCTCTCAGATTAGCCAAAGCAATACTGAGTAAGAACAGCAATGCTGAAGACATCAAAATACCAGATCTCTTTTGTGACTAGAGCTGTGGTTACAAAAATAGCATTGTATTGGCATCAAAACAGGCATGAAGACCAATGGAATAGAATTGAAGACATAGAGACAAATCCACATAGACACAGGAAAGACAAGAGTGCAAAAAAAAAAAAAAACCATGCTGGAGGAAAGAAAATGACCTTTTAAACAAATGATGCCAGGAAAACTGGATATCCATGTGTAGAAGAATGGAACTGTAGATCTCTTGTTTCTTACCTTGCACAAAAATCAGCTCAAAGAGGATCCAAGACCTAACAATTAGGCTAGAAATAATGAAACTTCTAGAAGAAAATATAAGGTAGGCACTCCACATATAGGAACTTTCTTAATAATATTGACTCCTAAAGCACAAGAAATAAAACCAAGAATCAACAAGTGGAATAGCTTCAAATTAAAAAGTTTTTGAATAGTGAAGGAAACATGAGTGTGAAGAAACAGCCTACAGAATGGAATAAATTTTGCCAACTACTCCCCCAACAGAGGATTAATATTCAGAATATATATAGACTATATACAGAATATATATAAAATATATACAGAACTCAAAAAAACTTAGCACAAAAAAGCACCAAATAGCCCATTCAAAAAATAGGTGAACTAAAAAGACATTTCTTCAAAGAAGAAATAAATATATTTTATAATATACAAATATATAATATATACAATGTAATATGTATAACATAAATATACAAATATATTTTTAAAATGTTGAACATGTCTATCAATCAGGGAAATACCATATCAAAACCACACTGAGATTTCATTTTACCCCAGTTAAAATGGTAGTCATCAAAAATATAAATAATAAATGCTAGTAAGGATGTAGGGGAAAAGTACACCCATACATTTTTGGTGGAACCACAAATCATATAACCACTTTGGAAAGCAATATGGAGATTCCTCAAAAAAACTATGAATGGAACCCCATATGAACCATCTATCCCACTCCTTGTTATTATTCCAAAAGAACCAAAATCGGTACCTTATATACAACAAATTTTATAGTAGCACAGTTCACAATAGCCAAATTATTGGAACCAACCCAGAGCCCATCAATAGACAAATGGATAACGAAAATGTCTATATGCACAATGGAGTTTTAGTCATCCATAAAGAAGAATGAAATCATGTCACTTGCTGGTCGGATGGACCTAGAGAACATCATTCTGAGTGAAATAAGCTAGACACAGAAAGTCGAGGGTCAAATTTTTCTCTTATATATGGAAACTACAGAGAAATAAAATTTTTAAATGTGTGTGTGTGGGGGGGGTTTCACATGAAAATAGAAGGGAGAACGGTGGAGTAGAGGAAGAGGAACAAAGTGGAGAGGGAGGTATGGGAAACAGGAAGAACAGCAGAATGAAATTAATCATTAATTAGGTCATATGCATGTATGAACATACCACAATGATTTTTTTGCTTTTATATATAACTTCAATGCACCAATTTACAACAGAGTATGACAATAAAAACACTTACCCATAAATTATGCCTGCAATGGTACACTTCTTAAATGCCATTGTATTGCAAGTGAGGGTTCCTGTTTTATCAGAAAATAAATATTTTACCTAAACAAAAAGTGAACATGAAAAAATCACATGTTTAAAATGTACTTACATATCAAAGACAACAACATTAAGTACTTTCTAAATTTTTAAAATATGTAAATTTTTTAGAAAGCAAGAAATGCAGTCCATTAGAATTCTACCTTAATATTTATACTTATTTTGAAAGTTATGTTCTTTGTTTTACACTTGAGGTAAAATTGAGTAGTTATATGCAAAACAAACTTTAAGCATCAAACCAAAAGAAAATCAGAAGCCAAGTTCATTTTCTTACCGCAGAAATTTCATCAAAAGTATCTAGAAAACATTAAATAGATGAAAATGAAATACAAACTCTATGCAATTTTAATTATGGTCACAACTACAATGCTCATTTCTAAGAAGAAACGAAAATTCTGTCGAACTCTATATTCTCCTCTCTATCCAGTCCCTAGAAACCACTATTCAGTTGTCTGTCTCTATGAATTTGACCTCAGACTTATAAATAGAATCATTTAATCTCCTTTTTATGGCATATTTTACTTAGCATAACGTCCTCAAGATTCATCCATGAGAGGCTAAGGATATATTTCAATGGTAGAACACTTGCCTAGCATGTGCCAAGCTATAGGTTTGATCCCCAGCATCAAACACACAAACACACAATCAGCTTTGTGTCAACATTTTATTCTTTTCAGGAGCTGAATAATAACCCATTGTATGGGTATACCACTTTGTTTATCCTTTCATCCATTGATGTTTTCACCTTTTTGCTACTACAAATAATGATTTTATGAACATTGTTATACAATGTATTTTCAAGCCCCTGCTTCCAACATTTTGTGTACATACCCAAAAGTGGAATTTCTGGATCATATGATAATTCCATGCTTAGTATTTTGAGGATCAATCATACTGTTTTCCATCTTAGCAGTTGTACCATTTTCCAGTTTTTCCAGCAAGGCACAAGGTTTGCAAAATTTCCACACCCTCATCAGTGTCTGTTCTTTATTGTTTTTCATTTTAATAAAATAATAGCCATAATAATGGTTATAAATAATATCTCATTGTGATTTTGATTTGCATTACCTAAAGATTAATGATAATGAGTATCTTTTCAAGAGTCTATTGGCCATTTATATATCTTCTTTGGAGAAAGATCTATTCAAATACTTTGTGCTTTTTTGAATTAGTTTGTCTTTTTACTGTTGAGTTGTAGAAGTTTTTGTGTATCCTGAATATTAAGTTCTCTATTGCCCTTCTGTTTTCAATTTCATCATTTTTGCTCTTTTCATTATGTTTTACCTACATAAGCAATATAATTATTTTCAAAGCTTGAGTCCTAAAGCTTTCTTTTATTAATGTTATCTTTAATTACTCTAAAAGACTGACATCAATTTTTATTAATGTTATATTTAATTATTACTCTAAAAGACTAGGCAAGGTTGATGAAATGGTACKTTTCCAACTGCCAATTAAAAAAATACACTCTAAAATAAATAATCTGATTTTTATGAGGAGAAAAGATGCTAGAGGAGTTAATTATTGCAGACTCCTTCATTTTTAATTCTTAAATGTAAAAAAATAAAAATAAAAGGATATTGGTGTAGTTCTCTGAACAGGCATTTCCAAAAGCCAAAATGCTTTTTAAATAAATATTTACTGACAACCCATTATTCAAATGATACCACACAATGTGATTATGAATTAAAAATTATATTTACCAAGTACTGTTTAATATGAATAGCATTAATTAAGTTCCTACCACACTCCAGGGACTATGCTGAGTGCCTTATATGCACATTATCTTATTCAGTTATTGCCATCTTGTGACAAAGATGCTCTTATTACCCATTTACATATTAGGAATCAAGGCCAGGAAAGTCACACAAGAAGCCCAAATTACTCAGCTGGTAATTTGATAGATAGATGGTAGAGCCAGAATTCACACCCTTGAAGCTTAACATCCCCAATTAATTGAAATATGGGAAATTTCAATCTAGTAAAAACATATTAAGAAAAAAAGGGTATTTAGAAAAATCAGAATTATAAGTCTTATTTTTTTTAGCTACAACAATGGGAGATTATTTTTTAATTTACAGATATATATAGACAAGGAAGCTGTGAACCGATGGATGGGTGTGGAAGTGAAGAATTTTGTAGCAATCTCTAAAATGTTATAGCAGCTTTTGGCTGCTTTTTGTGGGTCATCGGCCTCATGAAGGGAGGGGAAGAAGAAGGCGAGAGCTCTCCTCAGCAAGTTCCTAACTTTGAAAGCTAACTACTGTTAGCCCACCTGAGAGCTAACATCAGCCTTCCCTTTCTTCCCTTCTAGCTTTTCACTCTTTCATAAACACATAATAACCTGTACTGAGTTTGTTCTCCTTCAACATGATGCAGTCTATTTAAACATGATGCAGAATTATCAATATCTCGAACAAAATATGCCTACTCCTATTCCCGACTCCACATGTCAATTTGAACTGTACCCTGTTCTCATGGTGGCATTGAGATTTGCAAAAGCTCTCCCTAGAGTCTTCTATGAAGCTCCTATCACATTGCTCATTCCCTGAAAAGTCTCTCACCTGCCCAAGCTCTTCATTGAGGTTGGATGTTCTGGCCATGGCATAAAGATCATTTTGTTCGTAATGCATATCTTCATCCTACAACAAATGAAAAATACAGTCCAAACCAGAATTAGAATGAGGCTCAAAATCTCTTGTAGAAGGCTGACCCTGGCATTGGTATTTCTATGTGACTAACATTTAAAAATAACCCACAATGGACAGTGTAGAATACTTAGATTAACCCAATAGGTTAACTTCTCTCATACAACAGGAGAATCAATTTAGGAGAAGCACAGGCACCTGTATTGGTGAACAGGGATCAAAAGACTTGGCTTTCAAATTCTTGGCTCTGCCTCAGCCAACCTGTGAACTTGCGTAAGTTAGTTAGCATCTCTGTGTCTCATCTCACAGCACTCTACAAAATTAAATGAGAGTACACTTGAAAGCACTTTGTCTCACTTCTTGGCTGTTAAAATATTACTCTCTGGCTGGAGGTGTGTAGCTCAGTAGTGGAACCCTTACCTAGCACGATGAGATCCTGGGTTTGATGGCAGCACCACCAAAAGATAACATCAACAACAACAACAAAATGTTCTTCAAATTATTGCCATCCAATGGCACAGTAAGAAGATTTTTTAAATATGCAACATTTAGAAATAATTTTATTTCAAAGACAAATACTCAAAGATAATAATTAAAAATTATAGCCCCATTCAAACTGTTAAATTAGTTTAGTCCCCAATTCATTAAATATTAATGTCAATACATGACTGACAACCTAAAAAACTTTTAATTAATTTGAAGTGATTCTGGAATGATTGCCAAGAATCTATCATTCTGGCCATGATCTGTAAGCCTCCTTCACTGTTGAGTATTTTGAATTTTATTAGATTAACTATCTTTCCATACTCACTACCAAGCCACTATCTCTTAAACCTGTTTCAACAGTTAGAAAAAAAAAAGGTATGAAAAAAAATGATGTCCTCAAGATTAACACAAAGGTCCCAGCATTACTGAGCCAGGTTGACACCAGTGCTTGTCTTTCTGTTGAAAGCGTCCCTGGCCCAGTGGCTATACTAGCCCTGTCACAAGGACTCAATGACATTAGTTCTTTGATATCAAATAAAAGCCATGGCTCAAGAGAGAATTTTTGTTTAAATTTCGGATTTTAATACTCACCCAGTTTATAAACTGGGCCTGAATGAATTTCACAGTTTCCAGAGTTAACAGCAGACTGATGGGAACAAGGTTATGGTACAAGATAATGAATACCAGTATATCAAACACATGGTTGTGTGGGGTGATACCTGTGGAGAAAATCAGCAGAACTATGTCACAGCTTCAGACAATGGTTTCATTTATCCTCATTTCAATTACCACTTTATTAGAATTGTGGAATTTTTCCATGAAAATCATGATTAAAAGTGGACCCCAAAATGAATATTTTTATGAAAATTAATCAAATAGCAGCCATGCATGACGAGTATGGGAAGCACGGAGATTCGAGATCACCCTGCTCTCAGGGAGTTCAGGATGTGGCCTGAGGAAGAAAGCCAGGTCAGGGAAGATGGTGTGAGGAATTCCATGGTGGCACAGAACATTGAGCATGGTGACAATCACATAAAGAAAAGGGCCAGCATCTCAGACAGGAACATCTCAGAAAAGGAGATGAGCGAAGTTTGAAGGAGAAGGAAGTTTGCTAAATGCAGGAGATAAGAGGAAGAGAATGAGGAGGACATTGTAGCTGGAAGTAACAGTGGGTGTGAAGTCAGAGACAGACTTCACTTTAGTTAAGGAAACTAAAACATGAGCATATAAATAGGTACTTATATTATACTTTTTAAAATTTAACAAAAGTAGTGAAGGCCAAAAAAGAGGTAAATGGGAGGCTTTGTAAAATCTGTACATATTCTCATATTTTCAAGAGACATTTGTGTGTTTGAGACAGTAATTTTCCAATAAGAAATTCAACCTAATTTCAGAGAAAGTGACTTTAAAATATTTTGAAGGTGTTCAGGGGATATGTACACACTGAATTATATATATTTTTCTGAAAACTTGCATCTCAATCTTATATTTTGTTTATATATCTGTGTTACATGGGGTATGGGGTATAACTGAAAAGAGATAGCCAAATTATTTTGTAGAAGTGTTACATTTTGCTGAACACAAATTCATATAATTGAATAAAATTAAATAATTATTTTAACTTGTAAGTTAAAAATCTTGTATTCCTTTTTTTTTCTTTTAGAGAAACATACTGGTAATGTAGGACAATTGGAGCAAAATCTAGATTTCTAAATTACATCAACTTGAAAGTAAGTCACATCTTTTCAAACTCTATGACCTCAAGTTTACTAACATTTCCTTATTTGCCATGATTATACTGTTATATTTACCTTAGATTTGTAAATCAGTCTTTTAAGAAAACTAGAGGTAGATATTTTACTATGACCATTTTATTGACAGAGAAACCAAGACAAAACTTTCAGTGTTTTGCCAAGTTTATTAATTATTGAAAGTGCAGTTATAATTTTAATCCAACAAGTGTCCTCTTCTTTTGAACTAGGGTATCCTGGGCATATTGATATAGTCTGGAACCAATTCTAGGTTCTTTTTCCAAATATGCCACTCACTACATCTGTASTTTTTGGTTGCCATATGGAATCTGAGTTTCGCAGCAGTAAGTCAAGAAATTGGACTAGAACATTATAAAGTTTTATGTCAACTCAAAAATTATTTCTTATAGTTAGTCAATTAATTACTGAGTTTCTGTTATTAAAAAAATGTTCTTGAACTTCAGGGTACAATGATTCCTATCCTCAAAAATGCATAATCTAGGGCTGAGGCTGTGGCTCACCAGTAGCATACTTGCCTGGAATTTGTGAGGCACTGGGTTCGATCCTCAGCACCACATATAAGTAAATTTAAAAAAAAAAAAAGGTTCATTGACAACTAAAAATATATATATTTTTTAAAAATGCATAATCTAGAGAGAAGAAGGCAGAGCAAATCCTGGCAGCAACTCTTGATCAGCCATAGCCCAGAAAAACATGTAGTGAAAGACCAACTCATAAGAATGATGAGCAACAGAGTAAACACTCTAAAACTCAATATTGGACATCTTGAGATTTGGAGGGACTTGGGATTTGGTTACCAGAGCAGGAAATAAGGACAGAAGTCCTTGACCCAAACTCAGAAGGGAGTTTTAACAAAGAGACAAAGAAGAAAAGGAAAAGCCCATAAATTTACTTCCTTAACAAAGTTGGAAAGAAAATGAAACCAAGTCAAAATGGGACAGAGGCAGCAAAGAGTGAAGGGGATCACAGAGTGTGAGCTAAAAGTCGTGCTGGGGCAGGGCAATCGTTCTGTAAAGTCCACAGCTAGCCAGTCTCCCTAGAGGAAAGTAAACCCATACAGCTTCTCCTCACCTACAAATAAAACCACAGGGAAAGGTTCTGAATGGTCTTGTCTGAGTAATCCATCCGGAAGTGCAGAGAGATCTTTATTAGTTGAATGCTGCCAAAACCCCTCCCCTTCACTGTGGACAAGGGAAGTGGAGTGGAGCTGACCTGACAACAAATCACGCCCAGGGAGTGCTAAACCCAACCCAGTGCTGCCCAACAGCCTCCACAGGAGTTGAGGCAACGACGGGCTGACACCCTAACTCCATCACACTGATAGGTAAAATGCCAGTCATCTGCCTCAGCCGTGGTGGAACCTTCCACGCCAGTGTGTCCACAGAAAGTCCGCACCCAAAGGCTCCACATTGCAGACAAAGGCCAAGTGTCTAGCTAGAGCCACTACAAAAAAACTCCAAGCAGAGGGGAGTGGGCACTCAGCAAATCCAAAACTGCCAGCCGTGTAGGAGTTCAGAAAAATGACGGTCAACTGTCAATCTCCCCAAGTCACAAGAAAGGTATCCCAGTGATCTCCATCATCCACATGGAGGTTTCTATCCCACAGGCCACCTACAGAGAACCTTCATTCACAGGCCCCACAATTGTAGTCAGAACCCCACCCCCATTGTGTGTTAGCATCCATATATCAGAGAGAACATTTGACCTTTACTTTTGTGAGACTGGCTTATTTCACTTAGCATGATAGGCTCCAGATCCAACCATTGACTGGCAAAATGACATAAAGTCATTCTTCTTTATGGCTGAGTAATATTCTCTAGAGCATATATACCCAGTTTTCTTTACCCACTCATCTGTTGAAAGACACCTAGTTTAGTTCCATAGCTTAGCTATTGTTACTTGAGCTGCTATAAACATTGATGTGGCTGCATCACTGTAGTATACATTTATACCTTCAGATTTATACTAAGGAGTAATATAACCAAGGTCAAATGGTGGTTTCATATTTAATTTTTTGAGGAATCTCCATACTGCTTTCCAGAGTGGTGCCACCAATTTGAGTCCCATCAGCAATGTATGAGTGTGCCCTTTTTTTCCACATCCTCATCAATATTTATTGTTGTATTCTTGATTGTTGTCATTCAGACTGGATTCAGATGGAATCTCACTTAATTTGCATTTTCAAATTGAACATTCTTTCATATATTTGTTGAGCATTTGTATCTCCTCTTCTGTGAAGTGTCTGTTCAGGAGAGGCACTTGGGTCTGAATTAGAACAAGATATATTCCATGCTTGTATAATTATGTCAAAATGTATTCTACTGTCTTGTATAAATAAAAAGAACCAATAAAATAAATAAATGGAACAAAAAGTGTGGGGATTTCTATGAAAAAAGAAGAGCAAACTATGGAGTAAAAAAAAGATTGAGGAGAAGGGAGAAGGAATGCGGAAAGGGGGCACAGTGGAATGAAATTGACCAATTTTTGCTATGTACATTGAATATAACACAGTGAATTTCATCATTGTGTATATCTATAAAGCATTAATTAAAAAACAATAAATTGGGCTGGAGCACTCAGTGGTAGAGTGCTCAGTGGTGGAGCACTTGACTAGCATGTGTGACGCTCTGAGTTTGATTCTCAGCACCACATATAAATACATACATAAAATAAAGGTATATCAACAACTAAAATATATTTTTAAAAAATAAATAACTAGGAGAAAGATCAGGAGCATAGAAGAAGGGAAACAGGAAGAGTAAAGAGGGCGGTGAAGAGAGACGTACCAGGGACTAAAATAAAGCAAATGATATTCCATGCATGTTTAGCTATGTCAAAATGAACCTCACTATTGTATACAACTATAATGTACTAATAAAAACATTTTTTAAACGACATACATAAAAAATTCACAATCTAGGGTTGAGGGGCAAATAAACAATAATCATGAAACATGGAAATGGAATGAATTCTATTATGAATATTATAATAGAACCAAATAGAACTCCTAAGTAAAAAGTCTGGGAGAAGTAAGTCATGAAATGCCACAAGAGAAGATACCGCCTCATCCTGGCCTCATTGAGCAGTGTTAGGTGTTCAGGTGAAAGGGACCAGAGGTGAATTTGAGGCCCAAAGAAGCATGGGACAAAAGGCCTAGAGGTATCAACAGCCAGTTAATGTAAGGTTCCTGCAAGATACCAAAAAGCAAGCAGCGCTTTGTTGATGGAGWTTAGGCCCTGAGGAGGAAGTAGGAGTATATCATACCATAGGAATGGATAAGATAATAAAGGTCCTGGTATTGGCATACTGGAGGAGGCTTAACTTGACCCTGTATGCCAGGAAGCAGGAAATATTTTTAGTAACAGATAGAGGATCTCCTTTGCAACTACCCAGCTCTGCCATTGTGACATTAAAATAGCCTCAGACAATGCAAAAACAAGTAGGCATGGCTATGTCAATAAAACCACTCACAGGTACAAGCAGTGATATGCCAATCCAGTGTAGGCAACAGAATGCCACTGAAGTCAGTGTCATGTGTACATAACTACTTTTTATGTGGGCACTATAGTGACCAGGAAATAGAAACAATAAGAGTCATTTCCTCTTTCAGGAAGTCTGCAGAGAGCTGGGGCTGTAGCTCAGTGGTAGAGTTCCTGCCTTGCACATATGAGGCACTGAGTTCGATCCTCAGAACCACATAAAAATAAATAAAGATATCATGTCCACCTACAACTAAAAAAATGTATTATGAAAACAAACAAAAAAAGAAGTCTGACAGAAAAGGGAAGAGGAGGTTATTTATATGGCATACCAACCTTGACAAATTTTATAGAAACCAAAATATCAGTAACTTTTGTTCAGTTTGAATATAAACTTATTTTTTTATGTCCAAAATAAGATGATGTCATAGTTTGGATGTAGCATGTCCACCAAAAGCCCATACGTTAAAGGCCCAAGGGTGAACTTTTTGGTTAATGGTGGAAACATTAAAGGTGGGGGGTACTGACGGGAAGTTCTTAGGTCATTGGATACATACCTCCAAGGGGAACTGTGGGACCCCTAGTCCCCTCCATCATCTCTTTGCTCCCTGTCTCTAAATGTAAGCAGCTTTGCTCTACCATGAAATGTTACCTTAAAACAACAAAGCCAACTGGAACCACTAAAACAGTGAGCCAAAATAAACCTTTTCTCTTTACATGTTAATTATTTGGGGAATTTTATTACAGTAATGGAAAGCTGACTAATACAGATAATATTAACTCTCTTCTGTTAGAGCAAATTGAAGAAGGAAATTTAAATCCAGATTGCCTTTTGAAAGTAATCTAAAATCTATAACATTGAAAACCAAAATTGGACAGGGAACATCTGGAAATCCCCATGGCTCAAGAATAAACCTGCCTCAGGTTTTGATGCTATCTACAGAGTTTATAACTTAGTTTCTTTATTCCTAAAATGCTCCCAAACAGGTCTACATAAGGGAGGTTAAAATAGTTCAAGATCCTCAAAGACAGATTATAAAAGCAGAAAGTATATAATGCTTTACTCTGAAACATAGAAATACATTAATTAAAAAAATGCTGAACTTTTAATGCCATATACTAGTTCACTTTAAGACTGTAGGACGAATCAGACAYGATTTTCCTATGTTCATATATGAATACATGACCAGTGTAACTCCACATCATGTACAACCACAAGAATGAGTACTCCATGTATGTATGATATGTCAAAATACATTCTACTGTCATATATAACTAAAAAGAACAAATTTAAAAATTTTAAAAATACTTTACTTACAGCAAATTGATTTAATAAATGAATCCCCCCCCATTCAATGCCCACTGTCCTCATTTTCTCATCAATGTACATCACACACAAAACTGTATTAACCTGATGAGGTAGGTATTATTCCCATTTTCACATGAAGGAAGCAAGGCCTAGTGAAGGAAAAGCCTCATGAAAATTCTTATAGTCACTAAGTGTTAGAGCTAAAGACTTGGACCCTTGTGTGTCTGGCTCACATTCTTGTGCTTCTTCCCTGAGTCCTATCTCTCTCCTGTATTTTGGAATGCCATAACTATGTGTAATTGTCCTAATAATGTTTAAACAATCTTAAACCATATGTCTTATAATTGACTAATATTGACAATATAGAGAGAATTCAAAAACCCAACAGCAAGAAAGCAACCCAATTAAAAAATGGGCAAAGGCCATAAACAGACATTTCTCAAAAGAAGACATATAATGGCAAATAGGTATGCGAAAAAATGCTCAGTATCACTAATGATCAGGAAAATGTAAATTAAAACCACAATGAGTTTATATACTACACCTGGTAGAATGACTTTTATAAAAGAATAACAAGTAGTATCAAGGAATGATAGAAAAGGGAACCCTTGTACACCATTAGGGGGTATGTAAATTAGCACAACCATTTTGGAAAATGCTATGGTGTTTCCTCAAAATATTAAAACTAGAGCTATCATATGATCAAACAGTTCCTCCACTGGGTATATACTCAAAGGAAAGGAATTAGTGTGTGAAAGAGATAAGGCCCTCTTGCGTTTTTTTGCAGTAGAGTTACAAAAGCCAGGGTTCGGCATCAACCTAAGTGTCCTTCAAGCAAAGAATTGATAAAGAAAATATGAGACACACACACACACACACACACACACACACACACACATGCACAGGAGAAATACTATTTGGCCTTAAAATATAAAGCAATATTGTCATTTGTAAAAACATTGATGAAGTTGAAGGCTATTGTGTTAAGTGAAATAAGTCAATCACAAAAGGGCAAATACTGCAGCACTCTTATGTTTAGAATCTAAAACATCAGTCATTGACATAGAGAGTAGAATGGTGGTTTCCAGGGTCTGGGAGATAGGGAGAATGACATAATGGAGGTCTGTGTTAAAGAGTATAAAGTTTCAGTTAATCAGGAGATTGATTGTACAGTGATGACCATCATTAATACTAATGCTCTGTGTATTTGAAAATTGCCAAAAGAGAAGCTTTTAAATGTTTTCAGAACAAGAAAATAGTATGTGAGGTTAAGGATATAAAAGTTAGCTTAATTACATTATTCTACAATGTATACATGTCAAAAATCATATTGCACTGCATATATAAAGGCAATTATTTCTCAATTAAAAATAAAGGTTTAAAAAATAAATAAAGATTTAAAATTTTTAAGAAGGGAACATTGTTTCTAGTACTAATTTACAATCACTTTCTCCAAAAAAAAAAAAAAATGACACCAGCCAAAATTGTTAGAATAAGGGAGGACCCTTTTAAACAAAAGCAGGGAAACAAGTCTTTAAAGTCCCTATTTTAAAAGCATAACTTCCCAAAGTGGCAGCTTCTTGAACTCTTAAACACTTACCACTAATTCCCATGTACCAAATGTTTTCCAGGTACATTTTGTTCCAGATTGTGGCCCCCACACAGCTCACTGCAGATATCCCAAAGAGTARTAGCAACAAAATGAGGATCTGCATGTTGGTTACTTTCTCAACCTGTGATCTCTTGAGAGGTGATTTGACGGAATTCTGCACAATAGCACATTTATTGATGYTCACACAGCAGGCACACATGCACATATATCCAAAGAACAAAATACACACATATACACAAACACAAACATACACACACACACACAGAATTATACTGTAAAAACAAGATAATTGCAATTTGGTAATAAATATCTGGTAAGAAATAATTTTGAAAAGCTGAAGAAATATCTAAAATGAGAGATATAATGTGAACCTGCCTTTAAATTTCAGAGTAATAAAGAGRAATGAGCCTCCTGAGTTCAAAAGATATATACTAAACTCCCTCACTTCATATAATCAGAAGGAAACATCCAGAATCAGAAAATTTGTCATCACAGACTATTTTACCTGCATCAATTTGGTTTCAAATCCAGTGTAAATGACTACACCAATGATCCACTGTGTATTTTTCAGCTGGGTACCTCTCAGCAACATCTGGTCGGGACCAACTGAAATAGGACTAAAAATAAGAAAGAGCATTTATAAAGTACCAAAGAAGTCCTTTTCTCACAGTGTGATAACAAAGCATAGGCCTTGTTATGGTTTGGATAGAAGGTGTTCCTCCAAAGCTCCTGTGTTAATGCAGGAATGTTCAGAGGTGAAATTATTGGATTGTGAGAATTGTAGCCTAATCCACCTGAGTTTGAATAGACTGGGTAGTAACTGTTGTCGGGTGGGATCTGGTTGGATGTAGGTATTCAGACCATGGAAATAGACAGGGGAGCATTCCCCCAGTGAGCAAACTCCCAGGAGGTAACTGGAGCCCTGATTCCCAGGATTGGAAGGCCCAGCCTCCTCCCTGTGAGGTAATAAGACAATTGTGCAGGCACTACCTAGTTTCCTTAACCCTGTCCTTGGAGAGAAGGGGCTCTGTGTCTGTATTAACCTGGACCTTATCTCAGTTAGCTGGCACTCGGGTTAAAGAAACGCTAGTTAGAATACAGTCATGGTCACTTCTTCTTCACCCCTTCACTCCTCTCTGCTCCTCCTGTCTGTCTGCTGTGTCTGTCTGTCCTTTTGTGCTCCTCCTCACAGGTTGTCTCCACAGGTGATCCTTTACAGTTGGAGAAGGTGGGTCACTGAAGGTGTACCCCAAAAGGGCTCATCTTCCCTGTGGGGTCGGTCTCTCTCTCTCTCTCTCTCTCTCTCTCTCTCTCTCTCTCCCCTTCCTGACCATGCCATGAACTGAGATGCTTTCCTGCCCTAGGACCTCACCCTGTGATGCATAGCTTCACCTCAGGCCCCAAGCCATGGAGTTGGCCATATTTGAACTGAGGCCTTTGAAACCATAAACCCCCAACAAACTTTCCTTCCTCTAAATTGTTCTTGACTGATATCTGGCTTCAGTGACACAGAATTTAAAACCAGCCTTCACCTTACATATATTTCTTTTTGGCAACTTCAACTCTGGAAGCAAACGACAATAAAATAGATGTTTCTTTATATAGTCACCTATTTCTAAAAGAGCATGAAAAAAAAATTTTCTTTGGTGTCTACTGCTCACCATTCCAAAGTCATGATGATTATAAATTTTAGATAGAAACTATCTCTTATGCCTAGAKTGCTTATAAAATTTGGAAAAATAACAGACCCAGAACAGCTAAAGCAATTCTAAGCAGGAAGAATGAAACAGGTGGTATCACTATACTAGACCTTAAACTATACTACAGAGAAATAGTAACAAAAACAGCAAGGTACTGGCACCAGAACAGGTTGGTAGACCAATGGTACAGAATAGAGGACACAGAGACTAACCCACAAAATTACAACTACCTTATATTAGACAAAGGTGCTGAAAGCATGCACTGGAGAAAGGATAGCATCTTCAACAAATGGTACTGGGGAAACCTGGAAATCCATATGCAACAAAATGAAACTGAATCCCCATCTCTCACCATGCACAAAAGTTAACTCAAAATGGGTCAAGGACCTAGGAATTAAACCAGAGACTCTGCATCTAATAGAAGAAAAAGTAGGCCCTAATCTTCATCATGTGGGGTTAGGCCCCAACTTCCTTAATAAGACTCCTATAGCGCAAGAATTAAAACCAAGCATCAACTAATGGGATTGATGCAAACTAAAAAGTTTCTTCTCAGCAAAAGAAATAATCTGTGAGGTGAACAGAGAGCCTACATCCTGGGAACAATTTTTTATCCCTCACACATCAGATAGAGCTCTAATATCTAGGGTATATAAAGAGCTCAACAAGATAAGCACCCAAAAAAAAGCAAATAATCCAATCAATAAATGGGCCTGAGACCTGAACAGACACTTCTCAGAGGAGGATATACAATCAGTCAACAAATACACGAAAAAATACTCATCATCTCTAGCAGTCAGAGAAATGCAAATCAAAACTACTCTAATATATCATCTCACCCAAGTAAGAATGGCAGCCATTATGAAGACAAACAACAACAGGTATTGGCAAGGATGTGGGGAAAAAAGATACACTCATATCATACATTGCTGGTGGGACTGCAAATTAATGCAGCCAATTTGGAAAGCAGTATGGAGATTCCTTGATACGCTGGGAATGGAACCACCATTTGACTCAGCTATTCCTCTTCTTGCACTATACCCAAGGGACCTAAAAACAGCATACTACAGTGACACAGCCACATCAATGTTTATAGCAGCACAATTCACAATAGYTAAACTGTGGAGCCAACCTAGATGTCCTTCAGTGGATGAATGGATAAAAAAATGTGGCATTTATACACAATGGAATATTACTCTGCACTAAAAATGAATAAGATCATGGCATTTGCAGGGAAATGAATGGCATTAGAGAAGATTATGCTAAGTGAAGTTAGCCAATCCCCAAAAAATGCTGAATGTTTTCTCTGATATAATGGGGAGAGCGACTCAAAGTGGGGTAGGGAGGGAGAGCATGGGTGAAAATTCCTCTAGATAGGRAATAGGGGTGGGAAGGAAAGGGAGGGAGAAGGGGATAGTGGAARGAGACGATCATCTTTATACAAAATTCATGTATGAAGRTGTGAATTTGATGTCAACATATCATATATATAAACAGAGATTTGATAAATTGTGGTATAAAGGTGTATTAAGAATTGTAATGCAAAAAAAATTATGAATGTAATGTACTCYACTATTGTCATGTAAGAAATAATAAAAAAAATCACAGCTTTAAAAAAAATTGTCCGAGAACGTTTTGTAGACCAATGCCTATGTATCAATTCAGTAACCTATAGAAGGGATTGCATGGGGTAATTCAGAGCACAGAAAACAGGTTCATCCTGTTTTATATTTACTTGTCCTCCTTACCTCCAGCACTAGATTGACCCGCCATATAAAATATGTTCCTAAAAAGTCTACGAAGTGCATAGGACTGGAGCAACAGTAAAGAAGACCTCTCTGTTATGATCAAACCAAGTCCATTTGGCTTATCCTTGGTCACTTTCAAAACCGTGTTCTTCTCACTGATTTAYTCCATGTGATAATGCTCAGTGCTTATAGCCAAAGGTAACTTGGAGTTGATTTCTCTATCCGTAGTATTTATTGGTTGCTATTGTTTAAATATGAATAATGTTCCCCAAATGACCATGTGTTAAAGCCTTAATCCTCAGGGTGGTGCTATTGGGAGATGTTGGAACCTATAGAAAGTGGGGGTTGGTGGAAAGTCTTTAAGTCACTGGAGGCTTATGGAAGCAATAGTGGGAACTTAACTCTTCCTAACTTTGTTCTCTGTTTCCTGGCTCATGACATAAGCAATTTTCTCTGCCATTCACTCCCTCCATGATATGTCACCCTTGCCAGAGACCAAAAGTCTACCCAATCTTGGGCTAGAACTATGAGCCATAATAAACTTTTTCTTTTTTACAAGTTAATTGTTTCAGGTATTTTATTACAGTAACATGAAGTTGACTAACACAGGTATCCTGATTAAGAAAATGCTGAATCGTTTCCTTATTTTCAATGTTTTCACAGGAGCTTCAGGGTATTTCAAAGTCAAGGAAAATGTAAATAATTATAATGCTTTCAAATGTTATTAGTGGACAGAACAGAAACTGCTGCAACAAACTGTGCTCCAGAAGAGGGAGAAAATATACTTGAGAAGAGAAAAATGATACCTTTTACCCCTTAAATACAAGGTTCCAACAAAGTTATTAAACTGACGATCAGGTTCTTCACATTCAATTTTTCCATCTAGGTTTACCAATTGTCCTTCCTTTATTATTCCAGCAACTTCTAATGATGCCTATTTTTAAAAAACAGAATGAGAAAAATAAAAATAAAAGTTTGATATACTGGCAAAGCTTCAAGTCTCCAATAGTTAGTAAAAGATGATGATGAAAATCAACTAAGAATGTTAAAATACCCAACCAAATTTTAATATAGACTTTTCTAGAAGACTTTGACAAAGTGAAATTTTACAAATAATTTTAATAAAATTGAAATAGGTGGAAAGTCAAATTTKATTCTCTACTGAAAACTTCACTTTTTAAAGTTCAACCATCATAATCTAACACCGTACAATGTTTGATACATTTATGTATGTAGCTGATGATGCTTGTTATGGTTTAAATATGAGTTGTCTCCCCAAAACACACATGAGAAACAACACAAGAATTTTCAGAGATGAAATGATCAGATTATGAGAGTTATAACCTAATCAGTGAATTAATCCACTGATGTTAGTTAACAGGGCAATAACAATAGGTAGGGTGTGGCTAAGGAAGTAGGTCACTGGGAGTGTGTGCTTTGGGGTTTATGTTTTGTCCTTTGTGAGAAGACTTCTTGCTGCTTCCTGTTTGCCTGTCCTGAGCTGTTTTTTCTCTGCCCCACCCTTCCTCCATGATGTTGTGCCTTACCTTGGGCCTGGAACTATGGAGTTGGTTGACCATAAACTGAAACTCTTGAAACCTTGAGCCAACATAAACTATTCCTCTTCTAAATGGTTCTTGTTAGGTCTTTTGATCAACAAAAAGCTAACTAAAACAATGCTAAATTATGGATCATATTTTGAGTAACAAGAATCTAGAACAGGGGTTCAAAACTTTTGTATGCATCAGATTCATCCTATGACATCTGGTGAAAATAAAGTTTGCGGAATTCATCCCCAGAGTATTTTTATTTAGTGGGTCTAAGGTTGAGTGGCACAATTTGGATTTCTAACAGATCCTAGAGGATGATGATACTTCTGGTCCAGAGTTAGGAMTTGGAGCATCATTGAACTTTATCCCCAAAAGATCTCAACCTTCCATAGAGAAAAGAATAAAGTCAACATCAAGAGATAGAATCAAACTGTCATCCATCTTGTCAACAGAATTGAAAGATACAAGAAGACAGCTGATAAATTTAACTATTTAAAATGAAAGACTTTTAATTCTAAAATGTTATAATTTTCCAAACGTCAAACAAATGTAAAATGTAATACAAATATTTTGAGGCATATACACATGATATAAACCCACATGAATTTCTGTTTATCAGGAGACACCTTAAAGAATGTTTCGGAACAAGTTAACAACTAGAAGAAGACATATGTAATATGTATAATTGACAAAGAATAAATATGAAAAATAAAGAAATTCTATAAATATCCCAATAGAAAAAGGAACAAAAACATTAACAAACAGTTCCCAGAAGAGAAAAACATGTACTTCCTGAAAATTCAAAAACGGATTCTCAAGCATACAATTAATGAATTATATAAGAAARGGTATCATCCCATTGATAGATGCTAAAAAATTAGTAAAAACTTTAACATGGATTGTAGAAAAAGTTTCTTAGTAAACTTCGAGTTAAAGCATCTTCCCCATGATGGTAGAGGATATCTACCAAAGCATGAAAGCAACTATCATGCCTGACTATGAAATGATAGAATTTCATTAGTCAGAAGAAATAAGAAGTYACCAGTATTAACATGAGATTTATTTTTAATTGTCTGGACTTTTAGGCAATGAAATGAAATGGGGGGGGGGAAGTGATGAGGAATTTTTATTGGAAAGGAAATGTCAAAAATGACTCCACATTTTTTTTTAAAAAAGGAAGTAGTAATAGAATTTACAAGGTGGTAAATTTTATGTTAAATTTCTAGAAAGCATTAAAACCTCAAACTCTATTCTAATACTCTCCTTTCTACTGTGTAAATATGTAAAACTGATGAAAAAATGATCACCCTACTTTTAGAAAAATAATTGACTATTAGAAAAGCCTACACATTATATTTTAAGATCATAAAAATATGAGAGTTTAATAAGTTGATGGTAAGATCAAGATGCAAAAATAAGTATCAATGTGTCACAATTAGTTTAACCGTTCACATATAAGTGAACATGTGGCTATTGCAGATAAAACTGCTATAAATATTTGTACATAGCTTTTTTTGTGGATGTGAGCTTTCATTTCCCTGGGATAAATCCCTAGGAGTACAATTGCTGAGTCATATGCTAGGTACATTTCTAACTCCATATCAAACCTAGAAATTGTTTCCCAAAGTAGCTGTGCCATTATATATTCCCCACCAGCAATGAATGAATGGTATAGTTTTATGCATCCTCACCAGTGTTTAACGTCACAACTACTTTTTTATTTTGGTTGTTCTGATGGGTATTTCACTGTTTCACTGTTGTTTTAATTGTATTTTCTTAAAGACTAGCTAATGTTATAGAAAATATTTTCATGGACTTATTTGCCATTTGTATATCCTGTTTAGTTAAATGTCTCCTCATGTCTTTCACCTAGTTTCTATATGCTTTGATTTTTGTTCAATTTTGAGATTATTTACATATTATAGGTAACAATAATTTGTCAGATATGTGGTTTGCAAATATTTTTTTCCAAGTCCGTAGCTTGTTTTTGTTTTAAAGAAAAAAATGTATATGTATGTATTCTCTTGATTTCTCTTAACATATATATAGTCTTTTTATTAGAGCATTATAGTTACACATAGTATTGGGGTTCATTTTGACAAAATCATATATACATGGAGTTTGATTTACTCCATTTCAGGACTGATTCCCTTCCCCTATTCCTCCCCTCATCCCTTTCCCTATTCTCCTTCCTCTCTACCCTATGGATCTGCCTTTTACTTATTTATTTATTATTGGTGCTTTCTACATGCACAAAAAAATGAAATTCCCCTGTGATATATTTATATATGTACATATGTGATTTTGTTGAATTCATTACATTTTTCCTCCCCTTTCCCTTCCTTCCTCTCTCCCTCTTAATTTCCTTCTWATACTCCACTGATCTTCCCTATATCTTTATGATATCTAATAAAGATACCCTCTTTCTCTTATTTTTCTCTAGCTTTTACATGTGAGAGAATGGAATTTTTGAGTCTGTCTTATTTCACTTAGCATGATACAATTTCATTATTCTTTGTGGATAAGTAAAACTCATTGTGTATATATACCTATTTTCTTTATTCATCCATATATTAATAGGCATCTGGGCTGTTTTCATGACTTGGCTGTTGTGATTGTGCTGCTGTAAACACTGAAGTGACTTGTCACTACTATCTGCTGATTTCAGTTCTTTTGGATAAATGCCAAGGAGTGGGATAGCTGGGTCATATGATAGTTCCATTCTTAGTCTTTTAAGGAATCACCATACAACTTTCCAGAGTGGTTGTACTAATTTTTGCAGCCTCACCAAGAGTGTATGAGTGTATCTTTCCTCTCTCATCCTCTCTAGTACTTATTTTTATTTGTATTCTTGATAATTGCCATTCTGAATAAAGTGGGATGAAATCTTTGTGTAGTTTTAATTTTCATTTCTCTTTGCTAAAAATGTTCGATTTTTTGTATATTTGTTGGACATTTGAATTTCTTCTTTTGAGGAATGTAATTTTAGTTCTTTTGCCTACTTATTAATTGGACTGTTTGTTTTGTTTTCGGGGTATTAAGTTTTTTGAATTATTTATATAGTCTGCATATTAATACCTTGTCAGAGGAGAAGCTGGCAGAGATTTTCTTCCATTCTGTAAGCTCTCCCTTCATGCTCTTAATTTTTTCCTTTGCTGCACAGAAACTTTTAAACTTGATGCCATCCCACTTATCTATCTTGATTTTATTTCTTGAATTTAGGTCAGTGCCTGCACCTATATGATGGAGTGTTGGCCCTATATTTTCTTCTAGCATTTGCAAACTTTCCTATCTAATTCCTAAGTCTTTGATTCACTTTGATTGGACTTTTGTGTAGGTTGATAGGTCATTCCTATATATACATATGGATATCCAGTTTTTTCCAGCACCAAACACATAGATTCTTATCTCTTGACACATATATATTTAATTTCTCTTAACACATATCATTCTCTTAATTTCTTTAAAATATACATGCTTGGATTTTTAAACAATTTTTTAAAAATTTATTATGGCATTATAGTTATAAAAAACAATAGAGTTCATATCTGATATATTTATAAATGCATATGGCATCGTTTGCTCTTTCAATCCCCAGTAAACCTTCTTTCTCTCCCCCCCTTCATTTCCCCTGATCTCCTTCTACTTTATTTGTCTTCCTTCTATTTATTTTTTAAATTGGTGCATTATAGTTTTATATAAAATTGGAATGCACTGGGATATATTCATACAAGCACATAGGATAATTTGGTCAGCTTCATTCCCCAGTCCTTCCTGTTTTCTTTCCCTTCTGTCCTTTGCCTTGGTTACCACTCCTACTCTACTGATCTTCCTTCTATTTTCATGAAAACTCCTTTTATTCCTTTTTCCTCTCTAGCTTCCACATCTAAGAGAAAACATTCAACCCTTGACTTTCTGGGACTGATATTTCACTTAGCATAATATTTTCCACTTCTATCTATTTACCAGCAAATGCCAAAATTTCATTTTTTCTTTTTAAATGAGTAAAACTCTATTGTGTATATTACTACATTTTCTTTATCCATTCATCCATCAATGGGCATCTGGGCTGGTTTCATAACTTCATTATTGTGGATTGTGCTGCCATAAATGTAGAAGTGATTGTATCACTATAGTATGCTGATTTTAATTCTTTCAGATAAATACTAAAGAGTGAGATAGCTAGGTTATATGGCTTTTTGTTTTGTTTTGTTTTAGGAATCTGCTTTCCAAAGTGGTTGTACTAATTTGCAGATCCACCAACAATGTATAAGAGTATATCTTCCCCCCACATTTCACCAGCAATTATCATCATTCATATTTTTGATGATTGCTATTCTAACTGGGGTAAAATGAAATCTTAGTATAGTTTTGATTTGCATCC